TCCAGTCCTAAGGAGCCACCGACACGTACACAAATGCAAACAGTAGGTGCAGTTTCTCTGTCTTGCTGTCTTGTCGCCAGGTTCATGTAATGTGCAATCAGAACCAACAGTCTGCACCATACTATTCAATTGAAAAACATTTATCTTGATATGAAGCTTCCTGTGTTGAGCAGCATTATATGTAACCATTAACTGTCCTTAAATAAATAAGACCCCTCACTCAGAAGACCTAGATGTAGATGGGAGGGTTATATTAAAGTTGATGTTAGAGGTTTAAATAAAGGGTGTGGTGTGGAATCATTTTTCTCGAAAGAGACTGGTACTAGGCTCTTGTGAACACAGTAATGAAGCTTTGGTTTCCATAAACTGCAGGAAATTTCTTGATCATTAGAGCTTATCAAGATGACCTCCTTAGTGTTTGTCTGTCGGTTGGCATGACGGTCAGTTTGTCAGTCAGTCATTTTGTTGGTTCATTGGTCAGTCAGTAAGCCACTCACTTAGTGCTTCATCCATGTCATGTTCTAGACGTCATAGCATGGCTGATTTCTGTATTTGCTCTTTACACAAAGTCTGTGACTTCAAGCATTTGGAGCTTCTTGTAGTATAAAATTCCACAGTAATGAAATGAGTGATCTGGACTGTTAGAACATGTACATGTTGGTGTTTTTGTATACAGTGTGTTTGTGCGTAAGGTTATCAAACTTAATTTTTGTGTAGCAGTTAAAGCTAGAAACATGAGTGAAACACAGAATGTTAGAGAAGCTGTAAAAGTTTACCCAGTTCTGATAGCAGTGAATAGTTGTGTGATAGTCCTGTGGCAAATTACACAGAGTAGTTTACTGCCCTAAAGATGGAGACACAGCTTCCTCCAAAATGGTATTACCTGTCTGCCAAATTATATAACATCACATCTCATTAAAGTACAGTTGATGCCCATTCATCACATTAATCTCATCAATAGTACATTGCTTGCAGCACTTGAATCAAATGTGGAGATACAAATGAAACAGTACTTTTTTTGTTCACTTCTGGTAATCAGTGTAATGATTTGTATGCTGATTATTTTTGTTTTACATAGTCTTACAGATAAAAGTCTAGTGTCGTTCTAAACCCCAAAATTGCAGATGTTTCATACATTTTCTTTCATTCTGCTGTCGTGGGAAATGCTTTCAAAAATGTTAATTTTCCAGCGAAGATTTGAAACATTGAACACGTTAATTTTTGCACATCAACGCATTGAAACGGGTGGTGTAGAAAGTGAAAATATGTGATTTGGAATGTGGAGAACAGAAGGCAGATATGTTTTCAGTAGGATGTGGCAAAAGCTGGAATACAAACTGGAATGTGTGCAGATATGTGATTGGGTCCTACATTGTGGTCCTCCAGGTTGTGATACCATATAGTGTTCTGGAGCATCATACTTCCCCTTCAGTTCTCGGTTAGAGTCATGCTTAAATTAGGGGTATTATGTTCCTCTGAAAGTTACAGTGACGTGACATAATTTGAATCAACACCACTGCTTGAAATTCACAGTAGATAGATTAATCGTTAATCTTATTTCTTTCATTTTTTATCACGTTGACGACATGAAATTTAAAAAAGTAGCAAATTTTGAAAATCGTGCAATAACTTTGGAGACACACTGGATCTCAATTCTCTGTGACTGTGAAATGTCACTGAGTGATGTATCATCAAATCATTAAATTCACTAAATGGTTGAATCGCCTCCCACAACTTAAGATTGGATAATAACATTAGACATTATTTATGTAATTTCATTGGAAGCCGTGGCAACTGTAGGCCTAGTTTTAGAAAACATTTCTTGACGCGATCTTAAATGATGTTTCAGTTCCTCAACTTTGTTTCTGCTTATTTCACTGTTGTCTGGATGATTTAATTATGTAGTCTTTATACATGGTCATGAAATGTGTGCCATTACAGTTTTTGCGAACAGCTACCGTGGCATTCTACATTAAACACTCGTGCCTTATTAACATTGATGAAGAAATAATTATTCGCCATTTTTTTTGTCATTAAAATTTACCGTGGATATTCTCGATTTATTTTTATTACCGCTGCATTGATAAGCCATATTCTTTTTTGTCCCGGAAAACACTTGCATGTGACATGAAAACTGCAAGACAAGATACACGAGCATTCTAGAAACGTATAGGCGTGCAAATAGTTAGGACCGGTTGGACCTGTATACTGGAGACATAGAACCTGAAGTGGTTCGAAAATCGTAAAACATTAAAGGCCACGGTTTGTGTTCTTTCACATTTCCTAGATTTTAACTTGGGTGTGGTTTTTGCAATTTAAGACCGACAGCAGCCGCCACTCGTGCCTGGACATCCCCTTGTCATTGTCCCGTGACACAATATCCTATACCTGCTCTAATCTTGCTCCTGTCTGAGACCTTTCCCCTCTCCCTGACCTCTGATTTCCCATATAGACTTGTACCTTTCTTCCCTTCTCTCATGTAGCATCTCACAGTCCGGAAACTAGCAAACATAATTACCTCCCTTAACGTGCCACCGCATGTGAGCTAGCAGCTCTGATGACTTCCGGTATGATTTCACACACCCTGGTTCATTGCAAGTGTAGGGATTTAATGTGAGATCCAACAGTGGCTGCGAGCCCCGAGGTTCGTGATCCGAAGATGACGGGGGTGGTTGCGGATTCATATCCAAACACTGCATAGAACATCCAGGCCCTCCTCTCCTCCAGGGAAACGGTCAGCAGACTGCTGTGACCGATGACAATCTAATGATAGCTAGTTCGAAACACGCATTTTTGTCAAAATCTGCAGTAGGCAGGGAGGTTATATTAAACGTTTGACTCATTGTACAGTATATAAATATAATGCTGCCATCATAAGCTTTTCCTAACAGTTCCCATTTCATTCAGTAGTAGACAAAGATGTAAATTTTGGTTGTGTAGGATTTGAGATTTTGACAGCGGTGGTTATGAAGAGTACTATTATCTGGGATATAATGCCATGTCTGTTTATATGTCTGTGGCTCTGCACTTATTTGTTGGACCTTGGACTCCTTTTCAGTTTCTTGATCTTTTACACAGTCAGTTGTCTCCTTGGATGAGGGATCAGCCCATTGCAAGGCTTCTATCTGCCCACATGACAACACAAACACAGACTAGACCCACACAGACATCCATGTCTTGAGTTTGATTCAAACACATGAGCACCGTGTTTGAGCGGACGAAGACAGTTTATGCCACTCACCACATAGCCACTGTGTTTTGCATAATGCCTTGTAGTCTGTTGAAAGTCAAATCAGAACCTTTATGTTGTCATAACTAGTCATAACTACAAATAATTAAAACACTTTCAAGATTACTGTAATTGTAGCACATAAGTAAAATCTTCTGTAAGTGCTTTAACTAGTTGTTTCTAGGTAACAGAGCTAAACAGTGGCTATTCCTTTGCAGAATTTTCCATATCCCTTTTGTGGCAACGGATTTTAACACAAAGTCTGTCACACTGCAGCTCTCACTGCACTACTGGACACAGAGTCTTCAATTCACACGTTAAGTTCTCACTGGGCAACTTCCAATTCTTCAACTACGACTTATGTGGCTGGCTTCAAGTCTGCAGTCTAATTCTGTCAACTACAACAAATTCGGTTATTCTATGTATCTTGTTATATATCTGTGGTACGGATCATGCCCACAGAATACATGTAATGTGACAGCTCTCTCGCCAGTCCATTGGCCTGCTGGCTGCTGCCTGCAGAAAACACATGTCATGTGACAGCTACCCACTGTTGCGGTGACATTATCGTACCTGCGCAGAAGTGTGTCTACTGATCCGTTGCGTAGAAACGGGTTGCATAACCCCATTCTATTGTTGCGTGTTCATCCGTGTTTACAGAGCCATTGTGTGGCAATGCATTGATCAAATCCATTACAGTATGAACAATATGAATTTACCTTAATGGCTGGATCAGTTGATGAATGGGCATAACAATTGTTGGGTTTGAATTTCAGCATTATTCTGAGAATCAGTGGGAAAGGAAGTTTGATTTGAGGTTTGCTCTGTGGTGATTATAAAGAGTATGGGCTTCCAGGCTGCAGAGCTCTGTAGATCAGAGAGAGCTTGACGTGCCTCAGGAACATATTACCTCTATCTTTAGAGCTGAAGAGCGAGTGGAGTGAGAAACCAGCAGAAGCAGGTAGCTAGCTCACCTTATCCCTCAGTGTGCCACTTAGTTATGAAGATGAAGGTCCTAGATTCCTCCAAAGTGTCAGGCTTTCTGAACAACATGGGTTTACAATCTACGTCATATATATCCTTAATTAAAAAGTGTTCTGTGACCAGCAGAGTACCAGATCAGAGAAGACGCCCTCAACTTAGAGACTGAGGATGTGATAATGTGCTGCCTAGTCACAGCTGTTGCACACCTCAGGAATTGGTGGTAGATGAGTATAGAACGATGATGGAATGATGATTAAAAAGGGAAAGCTGAAGAAACCTGCTCCTTTGACATTACACCACAAGTCATACTGGAAGTAACTTGAAATTGAACCCAAGGCTGTGCAGTGAGAATTCAGCGTCTATTTGCCTGAGCTATGGCATGTTGCTAAGAAAATTAATAAAATTTAAAGTTTTTCTTGCATGGGTTCACAAATTAACTTTGTTGTTGACATAAATGTTTGGCTTTTCCATCACCAGTTCTTGCTTCAACAATCACATTTTGTTATGAGTAGAAAGTTTTATTTTATTGTAAGTCATTGGGGATGTATGAATGAGAGAATCTCCCTCGCATAGATTATATGGCTCTGTTTCTGTTTAAATGCTGTGAGCCTTTCTTCTTGCTGGTTCTTCTTCTTCCTCCTCCTCTTCCTCCAAAAGTCCTTAATCTCTCTGTCTTCTCACACCCTTTTCTTTCCTACATCTTGCTAGCGCTTTCCTCTCTTTCTCTTTCATCTTCCTGTGAATATGGGGTTGCAACATAATTCTAGCATTCTCTTTAATTCTGCAGGGCATCATCACTTTGGTGACAAGCCGCTTGGCCACAGGGCAGAGGGCATATCAGCATTTGTATGCCATGAGATTGCACCATCCACCAACAGGGGAAGTGTACTGGTTGCACCAGGACACCACCATGTACCAGGTAGTTACATTTGTATAAAGCATGGCACAATATTGGCAGTGGAATAACTAGAAACAGAAGGGGCTGTGGCAAAACTTTATTTATGGAACCCATATTGCCACTACTTTTGTAGTTGATTTGTAGTGTTCCACATAAACTAGGGATTCTGCAGAATGAAAGTAAGGGTTTGGTAAGAAAATTTCGTTACAGTATGAAAAACAGTAATGTAAATATTATTGGTATTATAAATTTAGTGTAAAATAACTTCCATTTTGGAGCTTCTTTGGATTATAGATTTCACTTTGAAAGGCTGAAACAAAAAAACTAAAGTGTATTTATACCTCAGAGAGGTTTTATCAAGATGTGCAGTCATCAGCTGATACCCTTTGCCACCAAATACTTATACAAAACTGGATTCTTGACTTATACAACAACAAACATGATGCAGAAACACAGTAAATGTGTTTCCACATTCAACAATTCAACTGTCCAGTATCAAGAAAAGAGTTTGTTGAGGTAAAAAGATAACACCGTCTTCACATTCAAAGTTACAAGTATGTGACATATCAGTTTCTAAGTTTCATTTTTCATACACATGAAGTCATTATTGTTTCTAAATATGTGCAGTCAAATAATATGTTGATCTGTATCCTTGTTTTATATTTATTTTTTATACTTACATATATATGATCTAGATTTTAACTTCATATAAAGGAAATTTATTATGGGCTTTGTAAAATGTTCTGGAGTACAAGAGGGTTTGGAGTCCAAATTAGATGGGTAAATACTGCATTTGGGGATGCAGAAAAGGATGGAGTGGGGATACATGAGTAGAAATGAACGGGAATGGAAACAGTTGGGCATGGGAGATGTTTGCAAGAATGGGAGGATTAATGATAAGAGCATTTGGAGGACAGTAAGTAAAAGATGTGCTGATGTTGAAAGGCAGAATACATACATACATACGTATGTATAGCATTCCATAGATCCTTATGTTAGTCAGAAAGNGGCCATTATCTCCGTAACCGTTCAACTTTGGACATAGGTGTTTTGGGTTATATCGGCATACTTTAACATAAGGAACACCCTCCCGAAGTTTGGCACATTCCTCCTGGGACACCCTGTATATGATCTAGATTTTAACTTCATATAAAGGAAATTTATTATGGGCTTTGTAAAATGTTCTGGAGTACAAGAGGGTTTGGAGTCCAAATTAGATGGGTAAATACTGCATTTGGGGATGCAGAAAAGGATGGAGTGGGGATACATGAGTAGAAATGAACGGGAATGGAAACAGTTGGGCATGGGAGATGTTTGCAAGAATGGGAGGATTAATGATAAGAGCATTTGGAGGACAGTAAGTAAAAGATGTGCTGATGTTGAAAGGCAGAATACATACATACATACGTATGTATAGCATTCCATAGATCCTTATGTTAGTCAGAAAGACCATAGGATGTGGAATTAGTCAAAAAATCATACAATACATATACACGAACAAATCAAACTATTGCAAAAAATTTACCAATGAAAACAAAGTCACAATAGTAGTAAAAGGTTCACAGAAGTAGTGAAGTGTCAATAAAATCCATACATTACATACACTTTGGGTTATTCGAAAGCATAAATTCCTCAACAGAGTAAAAGGAGTTTGTAATTAAGTATCTCTTTAGCGCTGCTTTAAATTGTGCCTGTTTATCTATAAGAGCTGTAATATTTGATGGTAGACTGTTGAAGATTTTAATGCCAGCATAATATGCACTCTTCTGGAAACATTGGAGGCTGGCAATTGGTGGAGTTACTACAAGAGTGAGAGGGGGGGAGGGTGGCACATACTCACTGAACATTATGTGTAATAGTTTAAGGAGCAAGTGGGGAAAGGAGGAATGTACAGAATAATTTATAGGGGGAGCCAGGAGAGGAATAGTGTGATGGAAGGTAGGAATTTGATGACTGAAGAGGGTTGGGAGAAACATGTGACTAGGGATTTACCCCATGTGCAGCAGAGAGGAAGCCTGGAGCCGCATACTGAGAGGTGCAGGAACAAAGATTTAGAGGGACAAGATTTTTTAAAAAAATGCTTAGGAATATGAATGCAGAAATAGGTACTAGGAGGATAATAGGACACAAGAAAAAAGAGTGATAGCAGAAAATATGAAGAAAATGTATTATTAAATATAAAGAGAAATGGGAGAGGATAGTAGAAAAGCTTTGAAAACGAAGTAGTAAGTTTATGTGACTAGTTGGAGTCATAATAGGGTATGCAAAATAAAAATATTAATGTACAGCGGGTAAATTATATACCATAAGAAACAAAAGCTATCCCTGCAACAGACCATGAGGTCCATAGTGTTGTAAGATGTCAAGGCTGCCACATTTTCTAGACAGTCGGCTAACAGATGGCGGTGAGGTTGTCAGCCTTACACACAGGCTGCCGTTTACCTGCAGGAGGATTCCTGATACTCATTTCTGCTAGAGGCTGTGTCAACCTCAGGGCCATAGTGCAGCTGGAAAGATCAGGTCAATTGAAAAATCCGATGGCCTTATCGGGAATCGACCCATGACCTTCCGGCTTGTAGTATAGTGTCTAAACCATGTTACCAGATGCCCCAAATAATGTACCATGAGAATGGTAATTTAAGTGTGATGCCGGAATGTACAATCAGGAGTCAAACTTCAGCAGCTGGAAGTATAAACTGTAATGGACCCAATAAAGTATCTGTTTATTGAGGCATTCGTGAAGTAAATGAATTCTAAACAAGTGGAAGAATGCATAGCAATAGTGAACATGGCGAGAAACATGAAATTTGAGAGATCTGAATTTCTGATGACAGTATCATGAACACTGTCCTCTGGAATGTGTTGCTGTGTTGTAAGGTAGATATGCAGCCTCCTTCTTCACTCTGAAGCCGGAGGCAGCAGATTCCTGCAAAATATTGATGCCTGTCTCTTAAACTGCATGGCACCATATTCCAGTAGATTATAATCATGAGATTTGGTGTTATTGTGGCAGCAAGTAAAAAGACAAGTTATTATGCCTTGCAGAGTACTATCTTCTGGGGCATACACCATGTATGTAGTCCAGCAGAAGTCCACTGATATTTTAGAGGAACATAACTGCCTCCATCATCAGGCTGAAAGAGAAACACTTGCTTCTTGCTGGTTTCTTGCTTAACATACTATTCAACCCTAAAGATGGAGACAGAACCACCACGAATGGCTCTGCAGCCCAATTTGGGCCCTGGCCACTTCCAAGTCATTATACCACTCCCTCTTGTCCAAGGCTCATCATCATCATCCTCACACACTAAGCATCCTAAGATCATCCCCTGTTCTATCCATCCATCTCATTTTTGGCAGTCCAACCTTTCTACACCCATCTTGTTTCAGAAGGGTATGGGTTTTTTAACAGGAGTATCATCCAACATTAAGACAACATGGCTTAATCTTCAAGGAATGCATCCTGTTGTGTTAATGTATACTGAATGTTTTTTATCCATCACAACCAACAACTCCTAATACTCTCATTCATTGTAAGTGTGTATAGTGAGTTTATTGATGTAAGTGGCATAACTTGCTGCATGTTTCAGCTCATTAAAAAGCCATCATCGGGCAAATCTACACTATTGACTATGTATAGAACAATATACATTGATAATTGTAGTAATGTAATACATATATGAAACACAATTCAGTAGTTTAAGAAAATTGCTATTAGTGTATATTTGCCCGATGATGGCATTTTAATTAGCCGAGACATGCAGCAAGTTTTACCACTAAGATCAATAAACTCACTGTACACACTTAATGCGAATGAGAGTAATAAGAGTTGTGTTGTGACAGATAAAAAATCATTTGGTACAACATGGTTTATCCTTTGTAATCTTCCAGTTTTTATGGTTTCGACAATATCAGTTCAGAAAATAGTTCATATAAATCATTGTTATATCTCACACACCAGAATCATTCTCATACACTGGGCTGAATATCCTTTGGAGCATCTTCCATTCAGAGACTCCCAAGCTCTCATCATTACATTTAGTTAAATACAACTCTCACTCCCGTATGTCGGTACAAATATCAACAATGTTTTATACAGTTTCAGTTTACTGATCAGTGTGAGAAAATGAGACTGAAATGTTACTTTAAGTCTATAGTAGCATTTAATAACCAAAACTATTCTGTTTCTGAACTACTGTTCCCAAATATTTAGAGTCTTGTACTGTTTCAAAGTTATAACTTCCAGTGTCTATCTCAGATAATGTTATAGGTGTTTTGGTTACTTGCATAAACTTTTTTTTCTCTTCATTTACTCTCATTGTCTCTGCAGCAGCTGAAAGTGCAAGGAATGTTTCCTTAACCGAGCTCACTGTGCAGCCCACTGTGTCAGTATCATCATAAACCAATATCTGTACTGACTTGTAAATAGTGCCTTTGTTTCAAGTTTGCATCCCTCCTTACCTTCTCTAAAGCAGTGTAAATTGTAAACATGCTAAACTGTCTTCCTGTTGCAAACCAGTGTGTGTTTTTAGGGTTGCTGGTAAATCATTTTTAACTTTTACTTTGCATTTTGTCAGTCTTACAAGTTTGCCGCCCGAGGTTGTGCTGAACTAATCTAGAACACAGTATTGTGTTTTTGATTTGTTTCATTTTGGTCCGTTGCACTAACAGTTATAATTACAAAAGACAAGTCCATCCAATGTGACTATTTCAGTTTTCTCACTTTATGATTCATTAGCCTTACATGTTTCGATCCATTTGGATCATCTTCAGAGGCACCAAACAGTTTTTAGAAAACACTATCACAACAGTTGTCATATCAGTTACACATGTATTGCCAAGTACACAGTGTTCCATCTATCAGTCACAGCAACCTTTCTGGTTATAGAAATATTTAAAGTTGTTTTAAAGTTTTAAAAACTTTGTTCAAAATTAAAATTCATAAACCATACAGGTTCATGTCAATAACACCTGTTGTCTCTCTTCAAGGTGGCCGATGTTGTGCCGCCTATGTAACTTGAGTAAGGAGATTCTTAATATAGTCCGTTATGATTTCTTGGCCCGTTGTGCTGTTTATACATTGTGTGTTACATTTGTGAGGGTGACTACAAAAAATATATTGTGGTTACTTATGTAGTTTGGATATTATTGTTATGGGCTGTTACAGTGTGTTAATATTCATGCAGTATACATCTTGGGTTCTAATAATTTTAATGTTTTTATGCTTTAATTGTATAAAATCCAATTTTATTTCCAAGTGATTATCTCATAATATACATGTATTATCATTCCAACATATTATTCATCTTAATTAAACATTATGTGCTAGTACTTTTAATATAAATTCTTTATATACTCTTAATATTGTTACAAGGTTAGTTTTATAAGTCTTACATTCTAACTTAGGCATAACTTTATAATATGGACATGTTGCACTAAATATAGATCCATATTTAGTGTTCAGTAACTTCATCATCAGCCTGATGATGGTACCATGAAGACTGAAACGTGTAGTATAAGGGATGGGCCTTCTTGGCCTTTGCACCATGACCACAGTGATCTCTTGTGCCTTAAACATGTAGTGGTAGAAAATAAAATTTGACCTGAGTATTGATTGATTGGAAAACCATGTTTCTTATGTTGATGGAAACCTTACCTTGCCATATATCAATATATCTCCTTAAAGACAGGACAAATAATTCCTTCCTCCTGGTCCTCTGGCTTTTCTTTCTACTTCCCACACATTAGTCATTACTGCATGCATTCTGTTTAATAGTTCTTTCCCTTCTTTCCTAAATAATTCACCAGGTATATTATCCGGTGCTGGAGTTCTGTTGATATTTAGTATCTTGGTGGGATGTAGGCAGAAACATGGGTGAACTTGTACCCGAGTACACAGAGTTATATCCCAGAAGATAGTCCTTTTCATAGTCACATCTGTGACAGACTCGAATCTTACACTGTAGTTTGGCAGTAGGTCCCAGTGTGTTTCAAAGGAACATATTACCTCCATCTTCAGGAATTGAAAGTGTTATTTACAGGTAAACTGTGCTCATAAAGCTAAGAATTGTGCTTTTAGTTACTTAGCCTTCAAACCTTTTAATTTATTTTTTTTAATCAAATACTTGTTGAGAAATATTATAATATTATATTTCAGTATCCTTTTGCATTTAAGTATCACTTGTGCTTTCTCTTCTGCCTATAATGCAACACACTTTTATTTCAAAGGATACCAAAATGTCAATTTAAACATGTAGCCAGACGTAGAATATATTTTAATGACATTTGAAGAACATTTTATCTGACATTTTAGTTAGTTGAATGTAAGTTTGTTGTCATCTGAAATAAAATAGTGTTGCATTAGAGACAGAAGAAGAAGCACTAATTGACATAGCTAATCCTAGAGTTTTTTCAGTTAATTAAAATGTTTGGCACATAATTCTAGCAGAGATGATGTTTCTGTGGGACCCTATAACTGAGGGATTCTTTGTAACAGTTATATTTTTTTTTGTTTTAGTGAATAGGAAGTTTTATCTGCTTATGACGCCTTTAATTTCTTGTGTCAACAGGTGCAAGAGAAGTATGAGCGCAAACACCCACACTCAGAATGGCGGTATGAACTGAGGGTGCGCTACTTGCCGCAGAATCTTACAGATCTCTATGAGAAGGACCGGGTCACCTTTTATTATTACTATGACCAGGTGAGCTTCAGTGTTTCTTATGTGACTGCAGATCTTATAGGGCACAAAGAAAGAAAATATACTGTTACATATCCAGGGTTTGCATGACTAATAAGATGGGTTTTTGGATTTGATGATCAAATTTATTGGACCTTTATACAACTTGTTACAACATTTTCACAGTTCACTACCTGACACTGTCATCTTCTTCGACTGGACACTCCACTGGAACTATTTTGACTTCCAACAGGACTGTCAGTTATGGTTGGCTTCTTGTTATATAGCCTCGGGTTGGACCACAGCACAGAAAATGAATCCGTTGCCTAGAAATGGATGTCCTTCATTGTTGCGTATTTACTGGAGTGTGCTTACTGAGTCGCTGCTTAGCAGTGGCCATATGCTCACCTACATACAAAACACCTCTTGCAACACCTGTTCCACTGTTGAGTGACTGTATTGTGGGTGCTGCCTAGCAGTGGGTCTACATGTCACAATATGATGGGGAGAAAATAGGATTGTACAGAGCTTCAGTCATGTGATTTCTAATCGCATTAGGAAAGGAAAAATACAGCTTGAGAAATAATTTTGTATTGATGGCTTGAACCATATTCGAGGTGTTTTCAACATGGACAGAACCATAACTGAATGCTGCAACTAATAATAATTTTCTTTTGTAAGCATTTTTCTACTAGCTTTCTAATGGTGACGTGGTGGTACAAGCCGTAGCTCATAAAGACGTGAAGCATCAAAAAGCGTATATTTGGAGGGTTTACAAATCAGATCTAAGGTCATCTTACATTTTTGTTTATATGTAGCCTCTTTTCCTTACTTAATAAGAAGAATATGGGCACGTAAGATGACCTGACTGTCTGAGTATGTTTCCTCTTTTGTGAACTGACAAACTTATTGTCTTGAATTTTGATACAAACATTCTGCTGTTCAATACCCCTCTACCCTCATGCTTTCTCATTTGTTACAATCAGCAATAACAGAATGGGAGATGCACAAACATTTGACATTTCACTAATGAGTGACAATTAATATGATGTCATAAAATGGTGTATGGCAGTGGTTCTCAAACTGTGGGGCGCGACCCCCGGGGGGGCGAAGGGCTTGAAAGGGGGGCGCAGCATACTTTCCTACAGATAAAAATTAAAACTGCCCTAAATCAATTATAAAAGTAACAAAAAATAAAAATAAATATAGAAAAACTTTGGATGAATACAGGCTCTAATTATCATGAATTTCAAAATAACTAATAATTATTCTCTTTACCGGGAATTATAAAACGCATATGCCAGAGACAGTGTTGATAGTTCGGCAGCAGCCGCATCGTCTGAAATCCTCTGAAGTCTAGACGTTTTAAAATGCTGTGTGAGGAAATCGGTGCCGAACACACTTCTCTGTTGTTTTTTGTGATGCTCGATGGCTTTCAAGAGGCAAGGTATTAAAGAGAATGTTTAAGCTGAGGCATGAGGTGTTCTGTTTTTTAAATGGGGAAAATCACTCACTGGCAGACAGTTTCAGTAACAAGAATTTTTTATTGAAAATGGCTTACCTCACAGATATATTTGAGGAACTAAATATCCTCAACACTTCACTTCAAGGGAATGAGGCAACTGTACTTTCTTGGAATGACAAAGTGAAGGCATTCATGAGAAAATTAGAGCTCTGGAGAAACAGTATGGAAAGTGACATGCTAGACATGTTCCCTACTATAGTGTCAATGGTACAAGACACTGATAATCCAGTGCTTCCAATAGACATAAAAAGCTACCTCCTTGATCATCACATAATGTTGAAAGTTCATTTCAAAAAATACTTTTTGAATGGTTTTGACGAATTTAATTCAATTAAAAATCCATTCAAAAGTGCTCCTGGGCCATCATCTCTGAAGGTAAATGAGCAAGAACAACTCATTGATCCCACTAGTGATACTTCATTAAAAAGTAAATTTAAGGAATTGTCTTTGTTGGAGTTCTGGATACATATTGGCAAGAAATTCCCAACTTTGAGCCAAAAGACATTGAAGATCCTGATTCCTTTGCAACAACTTACTTACGCGAGACAGGCTTTTCTGCTTTGGCAGCTATAAAGTCAAAGTATCGTTCAAGGCTAAATATTGCTAAAGAAGTTAGAGTGGTCATTTCTGATATTACACCACGTTTTGATAAACTTTGTTCTCAAAAGCAGGCCCATCCATCACACTGAACTTTGACATTAAAATGTTTGATTTTCTTTGCAGAAAAAATTAAATACTTGTTAGTTAAGTATCTTTTCATTTCAGTACATATTTTGGTTAATTGCAAGTGTTAAAACTAATTTATATTGTAGGCCTAATGTTGTGATACTTTAATTTTGAGTAAAAAAACTGCTAAATAGTATGTAGAAAAGCACAAAATAAACTGAATAAAACGTCAAACATACCATGACTTCTATTTTAATAAAAAAAAACAGGCTGGGGGTCCTGAGAGTATTTTCTCTTGTCAGGGGGGGCTCAAAGGTAAAAAGTTTGAGAACCACTGGTATATGGCAAGAGGTCTTATAAAATGTCAAGTGTTTGTTTAATTTAATGGCAGCCATGCAAAAATTTTAATTTGGATTTCAGTTTTAACAGGATATCTGATGCAGTATCAGAGCTTGGTATTTTGTAGGAAGACAGGTAATATAAAGTATTTCTCCATATTATGTATGAAATGTTATTCATAAGTCAGCAGTTACAAACATGGTGATTGTGTGAAACTTTGGGGTTATATCTGACAAATTTTATTCAAGCAAGAAGTTTGCACCAAAAGAAAGTAATGATATTAATAGTAAGAACATCAAGAGCCATCTTAACTGTACTTAGAATTACTAGCAGTAAACAAATTATATACATTAATGTTAATCCAAACCATATATCTCATCTTAATTTTTAAACTTAATTTTAAAGAAACTGTGCATCTGGAAATAGTATTTTTTAACAGGCGTGGGTATTTTAAAACAAGTGGTAAAATTTTTTAATAATATGCATCCATATTAAGAAAACAATTCAATGACTGAGCTCATTTTTCTTCAGAGTCTCCTGATGGTGACCCTTTTAGGGTTGAAACATTAACGATGCCTTTACCAAATAAATGAATGATGTTGCATTAGTATCGATGTGTTAATTGGTATAATTCTTGCGTAGACAGTCCCATAAAAATGCTATTCAACAAATTTTTGATTCTAGTAGAGTTTGATCCTATGAAGAACTATGCAACAACAGCCAAGCTAGTTGATTCACAAGCTAAAATGGATTTTACTGCTGAGTTATGAACTTATATTACTTAACTAACACTGGCAAGGCAAGATTTTTATGATTGGAATTGTGTGCAATAGGAAACTTACTCTTAACAGTTCTGCTGTTATCATAGTTCACTGTTCTGATCATGTAATGTGTTCATCAGTAGCTTTCTAGGAGATGTAAAAATAACTTGTAGGATCTGAGGTTCCCACAGCGGTGGTTATGAAGAGCACTGTCTTCTAGGATATAGTGCTGTGCAGGATCTGAGGTTCCCACTGCGGTGGTTATGAAGAGTTCTGTCTTCTGGGATATAATGCTGTGTAGGACCTGAGGTTCTCACAACGGTGGTTATGAAGAGTTCTCTCTTCTGAGATTTAGTGCTGTGTAGGATCTGAGGTTCTCACAGTGGTGGTTATGAAGAGTTCTGTCTTCTGGGATATAGTGCTGTGTAGGACCTGAGGTTCTCACAGCGGTGGTTATGAAGAGTTCTCTCTTCTGGGATATAGTGCTGTGTAGGACCTGAGGTTCTCACACCGGTGGTTATGAAGAGTGCTGTCTTCTGAGTTATAGCGCAGTGTAGGATCTGAGGTTCCCACACAGGTGGTTATGGAAAGTACTGTCTTCTGGGATATAGCACTGTGTAAGACCTGAGGTTCTCACAGTGGTGGTTATGAAGAGTTCTGTCTTCTGGGATATAGTGCTGTGTAAGACCTGAGGTTCTCACAGCGGTGGTTATGAAGAGTTCTCTCTTCTGGGATATAGTGCTGTGTAGGACCTGAGGTTCTCACAGCGGTGGTTATGAAGAGTTCTGTCTTCTGGGATATAGTGCTGTGTAGGACCTGAGGTTCTCACAACGGTGGTTATGAAGAGTTCTCTCTTCTGAGATTTAGTGCTGTGTAGGACCTGAGGTTCTCACAGCGGTGGTTATGAAGAGTTCTGTCTTCTGGGATATAGTGCTGTGTAGGACCTGAGGTTCTCACAGCGGTGGTTATGAAGAGTTTTCTCTTCTTGGATATCATGACATGTAGTTGGTTGAAAGTCAACTGACATTTTGGAGGAACATGTTGCTTCCTTCTTCACGGTCGAAAAATAAGCTGAGCAAGATACCAGTGTGAAGGCAGATGCCAAGCAGAGCTGAATGTCAGCTGATCATTGAAGATCTTTTAGGGTCAAGTTAGTTATACATGTAACACTTCAGGTTTTCTTAACAGTTAAGATTATAGTCTTCTAGGATATGGTGGACACATATTTTGGAGAAACATATTTTTTCTCCATCTTCATACCCTTTGAAATGTTGATATCTACCATACAGCACAATTTTAGTTTTCAGAAATCACTAATCTTATTCCTACATATGGAAACCTTGACAATTGTTGTTTAAGTCTCTGAGCATACCTTATAATTTGTGTTTTTCAGGTGCGGAATGACTACTTGTGTGCAGACCATGCAGCTTTAGATCAAGATGTTGCTGTACAGTTGTGCTGCTTGGAAATCCGTTATTTTTTCAAGGATATGCCACAGATTGCCCTTGACAAGAAGTCAAATTTGGAGTATCTTGAAAGAGAGGTAAAATCAAAGTAAAGTGGAAAGGTGTTATATTGTAAATGCTGCATAATTTCTCTTGTAGTGATACAGCATTTAAAGTGAGAGAATAGATTCATAGACACCCATAGCTTGTAACCAAAATATTATACTAGAATTATAGGTTTTACAGGCTTTGTAAATGTACATTGTCTTGTTGAGAATCTGAATATCCTTTGGTACTTTGAGGCCTGTTCTGCATGGATGTTCATAATATCTGTATGCATAGTTTTTCTTGTAGTCAAAGGTGCCAGTACTTATTCCTTGCTACCAGAAAGTTGGAAATATCCATTGTCTTCAAATTAGAAGTAATAAGAAAAGATCTGTTGATATTATTATTTCATATTGTAAAAATATTAACGCTCCTTTTATGAAACATATGTTTATTGTGCAAGCATTTAAAGAAATACATGAACAATCCTTGGTTTCATAGCAAAGTTCTTATGGAGAATTCCAAATTTTTATTGCATTCTTGTGTGGCACAGTGTTCTGACTTTGTTCCTTATTGTTTGTATCTATGGCTGAATGACATTTTGGAAGCAGCCACGAATCCACATTTGCAGCATCAGAGCATGTTGGACCTAGGATTTTAAGAAATAATAAAGAAGATATTGTTTTTGTCATCAGCAAAGCTCTGGTTGGGCTGATGATCAAATTCATTTGTGACAGTCCTCTTTCACATTCACTTGACAAAATTGGTATCATACTCAAAGCACACTTCAGTTGCTTCAGTTCCTCCATAACTGTCTTCTCAATGAGATATTAAACTACGAATTGTATCTGTTTTGTTTAATTGAATTCAAATTGCCAGTTTTCTAACTACATTCTCACCAAATGGTTTCAAGGCTGTGTTTCCTATCAAGCACTCATGCTCTTGCAGCGAAATTGGCATTTGGACTATCAAGCAGCTTCTCTCTGTTGATCCTTTCAACGTCCTGTAGATAACTTCCAGATTGACTGGAGAATAATTTCTATAATCTTTCCCCATGAAGAGTAACTCCTTGAAACCACAGACTTTCAGTAGCTTTGAGGGCATCTTTGTAATATGGTTCCAGAACCTTTCATCTTTCATGAAAGGTACGACAGCATCTGTTTTTAGTCATCCTGTGTAGATTCATTTCACATTCTTGCAAGACCAAGCTCATGTCATATAATTCTTCAAGCCCATCACACATGAAACCTGAGTATATCATGTTTGTAGTTGTAATTTTTATCTATAATCCTTCATGTGTGCATCTCTTTGTTTTGTCCTGCATTGAATCATTCTTTGCTTCTTCAAATTATTAACTAAGGCCATATAGTTACTCCAAACAGCTGAATCTGACCAGACACTCAATGCCACCTGTACGCTTAACATTCAGCCAATTTTTAATATTTAAATGTTCAGCGAATTTGCACACACTTCTAGTTATCTTGAATTTTTAAGCAGTATATAAGCATGTATATTCTAAAGGGTTCTAATGATGGTGGATGACACAGAATTACTGGGTTTTTGGACCATTTCCACCATCTGGAATTCTAGGTAATAGAGGACGCGACGTTTCGGAAACTCAGTAGGTGTCTTCCTTTCTCACCTGAAGATGGAAACAGATCTAGTTTCCAAAACATCATGTCCTCTATTACCTAGAGTCCCGGATGATGGAAAAAGTCCAAAAACCCAGTAATTGTGTACATTATCAATGACAAAATTTATCGATAAATGCCTTAAACCTATCAAAACCTGTAACTAATTGATTCCACTGTATCGCAAACTGATACTTCTTATCTGTGATTAATGCAGTGCCGCACAATTAAGGAAGGAAATCTTTCCATCATTTGTTTGGTAACTCCACTTTTACTGCCTGTGGTAACAGTGTCACCATCACATGCAACAGAAGCTATAGGACTTTTTAAATAGTTTTCTGTCATTCCTTATGGCTGAAAACAATCATTTTTTGAGTTTGATCAAGTCCGAAAACACATTTACCTTAGAGTAAATTCCCTTATCTGAAATACAACTTTCAATGTACATGATTAAAGTTGATTTGTTTACTCAACATGGTTGACTAGTCAATTATCATTGAAATTTCAGTGTTTGACATGTTGATTTTTTTTGCCAAATTTTTTCTCATTTCATCACCAGTGTGATTCAAGATGTTAATGCAGGCCTTAGTTTAATAATGAATATGGCCCATGTCAGTCCGATTTAATTCCTTTATGTCAGATTAAGATTCAATATTAAGAAAATACTCATTTTCTCTTGCCACCTTATATGCAATGCAAAAGAATATTCAGTTATTAAATGTTCACAAGATAAACTCTTTAAACACAGATTTTCAAGAGGCTGTTTCTCAACTTCTACAGTCAGTTTTACAACAGCGTTATGTCCTGCTTCCCTTATGACAATTTCTTTTTCATAAAGACAACTTTCGCCAATATACGTGACTTCATTAGTTACCCATTCCTTAGAAATCTTCATTGCTGTCCTCTTATTTACTCCAGAAGTCCCAATTCATTGGTATTGTGTACAGCCACGTTTCTTTTTTCTCTAATACAGCCAGTCATGCTTTGCACAGAAGTCAATTTTTGATCAGCAGTCCAGCAGCTGCCAGTCATCTCTCGCTCTTGGATACGGGCACTGCTGGGAACAAAAGCAATCCCAGACACAGTCTAGTTAACTTTTCACTCACCTCCTCAACTTCTTGTAATTTCTTTACTTTTAAAAATGAAGAGAAATTCAGAACTCTTCATTTTTATCATACTTTCCTTATTTTGAAAAAATAAAGAAGGCTTGTGCCGATCCTGATGAAACTTTGTATATATCCAGTGGCGTGCGGTACTATCTTTGGTAAGGGAAGCAGTGGTATTTAATAAATGAACTGATAGCAATCAGCTTACCAAAATTTATGTCACTTGTTGAGTCAGTAAGGTCGTTTTGTATTATGTTCGATAAACCTATAAATACTGTACTGTTCTCAAGGTGAACATTGAGTTTATGATCATATTTCCTCAACAAGTGAACTAATTCCACATAATTACCTCGGTCGATAGAATCCACGCTTTCGTCATGAGCATGGAGGCCAAGTTGCCACTTTCCTAAATGGCAGATGATATCAATCAAGCGTTTCATTATTTCTCAATTTTCTTTCACATTTTCATTCTGCTGTAGTATCGTCAGGCACTTTTGATTGTCAAGTTGACAGTCAACTCGAGATTTCCCAAACATAACAAGTTGCACTGTTGAAATAAAGTGAGTCTGAGAGTTCTCATGTCGTTTCAATGCTTTATGAAGGTTGTTGATATCACCAAACCCAGTCTTGTTCCATACATTTTTTTCGTTGAGAAACAATAGACATGGCCAACAAAACAATTTTCCTATATTACGTCAACTGGATAGCCACTCTGTTTTAGAATTCTGTTCCAAATTAAGTTTCCTCACACATAATTTGGTTTGTGCTTTAAGTTCTGGCAACTCTCATGTCTCTCATCTTCTTTCTATAATTATTTTCTTTTCAGGAAAGTCCCTGCTATTCAACTCCCATTTTAAAAGGCTTTCGATTTCACAGTCGCAGTTGCGTTGTCTGCTAGCATTCATTTTAGCTGTGCCCTTTGCATGTAGTCTCTTCACGCCCCTGCCCCTTGTACCACAATATCAGACTTGCTTCCCTTAAATGCGGATAGCTTCTTTCTGATGCATCAAAATACGATCACAAATACAATCTTATGCCATATAAATATGCACTTACAATATTTTAATAAAACTTAATCTTACCTATAAAGGGGGGAGGAGGAGGCGGTATGTGGCCTTGAGCAGGAACACACGCTAAATGACAATATTCAAATCCTTATTATTCAAATTGAATTATTTATATATGACTTCTTCTCTTTTTGTTTCTTAACTACGGAAGCAATGCTTTCCTTGCTTCCATGCATGCCGTGCCACTGTATGTATCATGTCACATGAAGGCATCTCAATGGCATACACTATAACTCCCTTTGATCAGTAGGACCAACATTACAGCTTCTCAAATTGTTGTGGTAATAACTATAATGTTAATCAAATGCCTGAACCTATCATCGTCATCATCATGGAACTTGGTCTGTATACTTGAGCCCATTTTAATGGCATACTTCATAGATCCTTTCCATTAGTAATACCAACATTACAGCCTTTCAGATTACTGAGGCAAGACCATAATATTCCTGCAAAACCTGTACCAATCTATATGAAACTTGATATGTACAAGGTCTGACAATTTAATTCCCAGAATGGTTTCAGTGTGTCGCTAGGATGTTCAGGCAGGCAAACTCGTGTACCCAAGCAGGTTTGGACATATTCCCACTTATGTTTACATGAGACACAGACCAAATGAGTCATTTTTTCCCAAGCAGCAGAGGAAGTAGTAAATGTCCGTGGTATACTGTTGGCGGAAAAAATGAGTGACAAGAATCTGGAGCAGTCAATAAACATCAAGTTTTGTCTGAAGATTGGTAACAGTGCTAGTGAAATGTTAGCCCTATTAACAGTGGCTTATGGTAAATATGCTATGAGACAATTGAGTGTTTTTGAATGGCGTAGGTGGTTCAAGGAAGAGGGAGAAGTTGTGCAAGATAACCCAAGAAGTGGGCAGCCAAAAATGCAAAGGACACATGCAAATGTGGACAGAGTACGAACAAAAGGTGAAATCAACAGTTTTATTTGGAAGTGCTGATAGGATTACAAGAATCTGTTTGGATGAAAAGGCCTGAACTCTGGCCTGACAAGTGGATTCTCCAGCATGACAATGGCCCTGTTTATGATGTGTTAAGAGTTCATGGGTTCCTGGCTAAGAAATCCATTACAAAAATGGACCATCCACCTTATTCACTTGACTTAGTCCCCAGCGACTTTCAGCTTTTTGCAAAATTAAAAATGCCCTGAACGGACAAAGATTTGCTGACATTCCTGACATCCAACGCAACATGACAATGTTACTGTGAGGTATACTGAAAAACGATTTTTGAGGCTGTTTTCAGCAGTGGCACCTTCATCTCACGAAGTGCATAGCTACATAAAGAGAGTATTTCGAAGGTGCAAGCAGCCGCTAGTGCACAGGTAAACAACTTTTGCTTTCACAGGGACATTCCGGGAATTAATTTTCGCACCTGGTATATCATGCAACCTGAACCCTTTCAGTGGTGTACTTCATGATTCCTTTCCATCAGTAATATATTGCTTAGGCAAAACCTTAATATTGCTTTAACATGTGTAAAATTCTTTATGAAACTTGGTAAGAATATCATGCCACATGAAGCTATCTCAAAGGTGTACATCATAAATCCCTGCCATGAGTGATACCAACATTACAGTCTCTCATATTTTTTAGGAAAAACCTTGATATGGCTTGAATGCTTGCACCAGTCTTCATGATATGTGGTATGTGTATCATGCCACATGAAGCCATCTTGACGGCATATACCATAAGTCCCTTTGATCAGTAGTACTAACATTACAGTCTCTCAAATTGTTGCAATAATAACCGTAATGTTTCTTAAATGCCTGAACTAATTATCACAAAACTTGGTACATATATGATGCCAGCTGAGACTATCTCAACGGTGTACTTCATAAATCGCTTCCATCGGCAATACCAACACTGAAGTCTCCCAAATTGTGTTATTTTATTGCCTCCATTTCATACATACTAACGTTTTTTCTGCTTATCGTATCAGATACTCAAATTGCAGTGAAAGGAAGGTAGGCAATTAGTTCATTCCAGAACTTTATCTTTACTGTAGTTTTCAAGACAGTGTTTTCTTTTAATACATATTCACTCATAAGCATATCACCACTTTACTCCAGGGGCATGCTACATAAAGTTGATGTTTACGGATTTGCTAGGAAAGCATGGCTGTTGTAAGGAGAGAAAAATGATTGACTGTACAGGTTGGTAAAATACAGAAAACCAGGAATACAATAGTCTATCAAGCAAGCAAAAGCAGGGGTAAGTCTAGGGAAAACTGAAGCAGTATTTCAAAGGGGTCTGTTCTAAAAATAACGCAAACCAAGGGTGAACCAAGAATATAGTTGTAAAATATTTTTATTTCTGTTAAACTTTATCTTGTGTGATAATTATTTTGAAGAAAGCAGTCTTCTGGGATTTGGCACCATGTATATGTGGTGTTAACCGACGTTTCAGAGGAACGTATCGCCTCCATCTTCAGGGTAGAAGAAAAAATATAAGAATTCTGCAAGCGAAGAGACCGTGAGAACCAGTAAAAGCAGACTGTTTATTTTGTTTGGTAATTGGCAACATACCAAAACATCACTTTTTGTTACTCAGTAGGTTGGATGTTCACAGTTTTTTTAAGCTACACCATGCAAGTATATAATTTGAAAAATTTTCAGGTAAATTAGCCTTGATAACATATATCTCTCAACATCTTCAGTTCAGAACTATCAACATTGGAATCACCTCCAACATCAAGTAAAGTGTCTGTTTTTATAAGAAACTATTCATAAATATTATTCAGAAATAATAGAGAAGTGACAAAGAAAGGAAACAAGAATTGTAAAAAAGAAAAGATGAAGCAATCTGAAATAGCCTCCTCAGGCCATTGGGTTTCAACACAGAAATCATTAATATTGTAACGTGTTTACATTACTGAAGACGCCATAGAGATGGTTAATTGGTTTATTTAACGATCTACAAATAACGGCTACAATTAATTATTACACAGTTGTGGGGTTTCACACTTTATAACCCTAATCGCATTAATATGTTAACACTGTTGTGGGGTTTCATGATTTATAACCCTATGCGCAAATCAGTTCACTCTGTCTTCAGTGGTCTACACGTTTACAGTAGGGGAGCTGTGTATCACTGTATCACACGCTCCCGATTACACAATCACACACACGTCCGGATCTTCTTTCCGCGACGGCTGCTATACTCCAACTTGTAGTCGGCTGACTGTTACTTTACAACTCGGCGGATGTCACAGTACAACTGTGTTAGGCGGCTGCTACAGTAGAACTCTTGGTAGCTGCTGTGCAGCTCACTTATATAGCTGCAGTGCTTACCTGTTGCGTAATGAGTGCCACGTCACAGTAGGAAGTTGATTACGGGTACGTAGCGTGGCGCGTTACGTCACCGCAGAGGGGGTGGAGGGGTGATGACTTGCCTAGTACATGAGAGCTACGTTACCTTGCGGAGGAGGGGGAGGGGAGTGCTGACTCACCCGCCGCGTCACTGCTGGTGGGGGGTGGTTCTCCTTTGCGCAACATGTCACAATATTATTCTGCCCATAATGTTTTGACCAAAACTGTTACTTTTGTTCAATTCAGCACTGTTTTCTCTTGAAAAACAGTAATTTTTAAATATGATCATGAGATAACTTGTAGAAAAATAGGAATAAAATCATGAAAGTTTCATTGATTGCATATTGTTTGTTATATTACACTTAGAACTTAATATATTTCCATAAATTATATTTAGAATGAAGGAAAATTATGCTGAACACAGGACATATATTAGAAATAAAATTGACGAGTTCTGCATAAAGGAAAACATAAATAAAGGGCTGCAAATGCGTTCGGGTTGCTAGAAATCATGGGCCCAAATAGATACTGCTTCTGAAGACAGCAGTAGCACCCCCCCCCCNTCATGGGGCCAAATAGATACTGCTCTCGAAACACGCCATAGCCCCCCCCCCCCCTTCCACCATGCATTTGATACATCACTGCCAGTAAAGGTGCCAGTACTCTCTAGTGTTGCTTACTGTCACAAAAGTAAACACTCTCTACATGTAGTAATTAAACTAGTCTGTTATATTAAGAGGATAAATTTATATGACTTGCATCATTCTTCTGTAAATTGACCAGAGACAGTAACAGTAAAATTATGTAGATTGTTGTGATTGGCAGGTCGAGAAAATGATAATTAACTTCCAAGTTCTATAAAATGGAAGGAATCTCTTGACTATCTGAGCAACTGTTAGTTTTTGTGAAAAGAGAATCCCTTCCACAGTGGTATTTAATGAATGTGGGTTCTTGATGAGTTCCAAATGACAGCACTATGTTAATTAATTTGCTTACCAACTTCAAGGTTTAGTTTATGCTTAGCCTGGTCTAGTTCCATTTGTTTAGTCAGATCATCTCTTCTTTATCCTACATAATTTACTATTTAGTATTGATTAATTAATTATCAGAAAAGTCTCTTAACAAAGTGACAACAGTAGCATTTAAACCACAAGAATTTATGGTATGTCAGCCTGTGTTAGGTAATACACTAATAGAATGAGTAAAAAAAAAAGTGAAGTTGTCCTGTAACTAATTAAGTCCTACGCCATGAAGGTGCATTGGGGAGTGTGTATAGCCTGTTGCTATCTCATCTCCCTAATAGAATGAATATGTGAATTTAAATATTTATAAAATTTAATTGTTCAAATGATGAGAGAGATTTGAAAAGTAAATGGTAGCCATTTATACATGCAAATAGAATAATATACAGACACTTTAATAAATAATCTTCAAGAGTGCTTTTTTTTTTTTAATTTATTTGTGCCAGTAGTAGAATATAAAGTGCGTCATGCATTGTATTAGATTATACATAATTCATTGAATGATTGAAACAGCATTGTTGGTGTAATGGTTCGATACCTCTGTTGTAGATTGGGTTGCACAAGTTCTTGCCACGAGCTGTGCTAGATGGAATGAAGCCAAAAGCATTGCGGAAATTAATCCAGCAACACTTCAAGAAGGTGGCAGCACTTTCTGAGCTTGAGTGTATGTTCAAATTCTTCGAGCTCCTTCGAGCTCATTATCGCTTCGATCAAGAGAGGTTTCGTTGTGACCTTGGGGTTAGTATTTATTCCAAGCACCCTGTGTTGTAGCATTCCATAAACATTTCTTGATGTAAAAGCATTTAATATATGCACTGTTTGATCTTTTGCAGTCGGGGTGGTCCATTCCAGTAGAGCTAGTCATAGGGCCTGATCTTGGGATATCTTACATGACTCATCGAGCCACATCAGTAAGTACTTGAATATCCTGTGTTCAACTAGACTACTATGTATAAATTATGGTCCCTGATTATCTCTGTGAGACGAGAGTATGTATACATGTTAAAATGTTCTGTTCCCCACACTGTAGTTTTCAAATAGATGTATCCCATGACTTGTGTGATTTCGACTTCAGTGAATTTTGCTTTGTCATGATTTGATATAAGAGCCAGGATGGCATAGTCATTATAGCGACTGGTTATGGGCTGGATGGCCAAGGGGACAGAGTTCGAGTCCTGGTGGGGCAAGAATTTTCTCTTCTCCATGTCGTCCAGATGGACTCGGGTTCACCCAACCTCCTATCCAATGGTTACCAGGGCTCTTTCCCTGGGGGTAAAGCATCAGGGGCATGAAGCTGACCACTCACCTTCAGTTAGTGGCAGGTCAAGAAAACGTGGATTTATACATCCAGTCTCCCATACGTCTTCATGGCATAGTGCTTAATTAGTTAAGCACAGGGACAACTTTACTCTACCTTTAATGATTTGATATAAACTTTTCTTTAATTCATTTTTGTTCTTTGAAGACCCCCCCCCCAAAATGAAATTATTTTTCTGAAAGAACGGTATTAATAAATGTCTTAAAGTTAATAGTAATGACCATTTACTCTGTGAACCAGGGTACAGCATACCTTATGTAAGCAGTTTTACAGAAGAGTCCTGTGAAGTTATCTTTTTGATTTCTACTGACATGATTTCCAGAATTGTACTGAAAATGTGTAATAAATCTGTAATAATTTTGTAACAATCAGCATCACTAAGGGACGATGACATGCCCTTGTTCTCATCATGGATGGAGTATACTGAAGTTGCATGAATTTCATACTTTAGGTGAAAATTTAAGGCACTGAAGACAAAAGAGTAAGGAAAGCGATAATAAATTTTGAGTTATGATATTTTGAGTTAACGTGAACACTCCAGGGAACGTGACTGTCTCATAAGCAAGGTGATCCATGTTTAAGAGTTTAAATCTTATGCTGCTTTTTTGTCTTTATACATATATTTTTATTCAAATATTCATTTTTCAGATTTCTTAGAAGTGTTAGTGACACTTGCAGATGATTTAATTACAAATGATTTTTCCCATATCTGGTTAAGTAGCTCAGTAGCATATGTGAAACTTAATCTTGGGGATTGCTTCGGAATGAACACAATTATATTCACAGTCCAGACATAACATTTGAAAAAAATACAAAATATAGATTTCAGGAAACTCTCATGAATCATGAATAAGCATGTGTTATAAAAATGCCTATGGCTGGGAACAGATAATGCAGGATTTAAGAAGTGTTCTGAAACAAATATTTTTAGTGAAAATGGTGGACTGCTGATGACAGAGAGACTATTGATGGTGGATCCACCTACCATCAGAGTTAGTACTACCTGCATCCAGCACATCGTAGTTCTACTGGCACACTGTGTTACCTGCCTCATGCATCATCATTACAATTTTATTATATAGAGAGATATTCACAGCTCAGCTGTGCTGCTAATGTAAGTTTGCTGTATCTAACCCGTAACAGAACACTTCCTGTTACTCTGGGAATGGAGGAGTCCTCTGAATATTTGTGTGAAGACAGTGTGGGGAAGAGAGTGGACTCTGTATTTCAGCATCCTGTTGCAATTGTCCAACTTAACGTCCATTATCATCTATCAATATTGCAACACTCTCCCATTCACCACTCAGTTTTAGTTTAACAGTATACACCTTGACACTGCATGTTTCGGCCCCAAACAGCCATCTTCAAGTGTCTTGATATGTTACAAATATTTTATTAAATTATGTATAGCAGTTTTAATATAATTTAATAAAATATTTGTGTATGTTATGTATAGCAGTTTTAACATAATTCAGTAAAATATTTGTAACATATCAAGACACCTGAAGATGGCCATTTGGGGCTGAAACATGTAGTGTCAAGGTGTATAATGTTAAACTGAAATTGAGTGGTGAATGGAAGAGTGTTGCAATATTGACGGACGATAAATAATGGACGTTACTGGAGTGGACAGCTGACTTATGTGTTGCACATAACATAGTATGACTTCTAAAAGCTGAGCTTTGTTTTTTTAAAACAAAGAAAGAGCATAAAACTGAATTTTCATAAATTATGAATGAATGATGTTTCAGCACTTGGTCTGTACAAGTGTAGTAAAGGTGTGTTGTATTGCAGCCAACACGAATGGCTGAGTTTGATAGGATACAAGCCATCCAGACATTAGTGTCAGACTGTGAAGTGCATCGTAAGGCCATGGTACAGCTGCGTGTGGCTGGCACAACCGAGACGCTCACCATAACATGCCCATCACTGGAAGTTGCAGAGAGTTTGGCTGACCTCATCGATGGTTACTGTCGCCTTGTTACACAATCAACGACTTCCCTGTGGAACAGGAAAGGTGAGATTAGTGTATCCAAAACTATTGCTTGAGTAAGGTGACAGTGTAGCCGCGCCATAGCTCAAGCAGTTAGTCGCCGGCTTCCCACTGTGATGGCCCGGTGACTGTACTTTACATTTAAAGACATTATGCCATAACTTCACATAATAATTTAGTTTGTTTTTAGATGTCAGTAAATTGTTATAACTTGATTGTTATCATATTTATGTAATTGTTTTTTCTTAAGTTTTTAACAGATATGCTGCTAAAGATTTACCAGGGCATGTTAATGGTTGAACTTGCTACCATTGTCACTCAAGCCACCTAACTCTTGTACACATTCATTCAATTCTGAAGTTCTGCTTTAGATGGTTGTAGAATTCAGTGAAATGTTTTGGGGTGTGTGAAAATGCAATTGGGTAGTCAGTGTATGTATAAAATATAAAATTAGGCAAATTTAGTTAAGTCATGCAGGGTGAGTTGGCAATTAAATCCACGTGTCTATGAATGCTTAACATTTTGGTTGAAATACTAATAGGCTTGAAGACAAAATATTGAAGATACAGCACAGTGTCAGCTTTAAACCAGACAGGTAATTTAAATTTGTCAGAATTGAAGTTTTCATGGTGATAGTGTTCTGGGTTGTAACACTGTATAGTTCAGGAGATAATGGATGGTTTGGAGGAACCAAGAGAAGCTGGCAGCAACCTGAGCTGGGTCATCTTACCATCTGCTCCTTTTGGTTTCATGCTTGTTTTACTCTTTCACTCTGTAGATATAAGTGATGTGTTCTTTTAACACATCAAGCTCTTTCCATACTATTCCATTATGGCTGAGAACATAGTACCCTTCATAATTCTAACTTACTGAACAGTAAATTATTAGGGCAAAATTGTCAGAAACAATTGACAAGAGTTCATACATTTTGAAGATTTTTTTTTGTGATGTGACACCTTTCATACTGTTACAAATTCACTAGTGTATTAGAGGAATATACTTAGTTGTTTGCTTGGCTTACTCTTTGACACTGAAGGTGGGGGCAGTATATACCTCCAAAAACGTCAGTAACCTTGTGCCCTGTGCCGTACTACACCTTGTTACACCCCAGAAGATAGTGCTCTTCGTAGTCACCTTGTGAAAACCTCAAGTCCAACATTTGTTTATCCTCATTGTAATAAAACTGACAGTTTATGTAGCTGAATCACTGCTAATTGTTTATCCTGGAACTGTCAGTCTCTTGTGTGGCAGATATACACAGGCAGAGTTTCTGAGGGATGTGACCTCACTCCTGTATACAGAAAGGTTGGGAGTGCTATAAAAGCATAAACATTTCCTCCCCTTTTGCCAGATAAGACAGTACCAGTATGAATGATGTCAGCAGCAGGCATTTATACTGCAGATAGGTTTTGTGTAGAAAATGTATGCATATTTCTGGAGAGATGTTCGAAATTGTAATTTTTTTTTTTTTTGGAATCGGTGTAATAATTTTTAGAGATTTTAAAATCTGTAAATTACAATATCTGATTCTATATTCTTTCTAGATAAAAGCAGCGTTTATTTCGTTCGTTTATCACAAAAATTGTAGAAATCACAGCATTTTCAGTAACATGATTACAATTTTTATTACTCTACAATGGCGGGCATTTAAATTAACTCTGGCCCGCTGCCATTATTGGAATTTAAACAACCCGCCTCTTAAAGGTTAAGCTACTTCTCAGTGTAGTCACCACGGGAACTGAGGCACTTGTTGTATCAGGGAATATATTTCTGTACATGTGTGTCAAAGAAGTCTGTCGCCTGTGAGCTCAGCCATGTTTTGACACCTTTCATCAACTGCTCATTATTGTTGAAGTGCTGTGTTAGCAATCAGTTCTTCGGGTACAAATACAAACCACTCCGTCCAATGTGACATAAGTTTTACTACATGAAAACCTATCACCCTTACATGTTTTGGTCCTTATGGACCATCTTCGGAGGGAACATCATTACAAGTTGGAAACTACTATCACAATAGGTGTTTTGATTTAAATACATACACTTATATCCTATAATGCACAGTATGCATAAATTCGGACATTTCACAATCACAGCAGCTTCCTGGTATTATGAAGTTTTTAAAAAAGATTTCTAGATGTTGCTTAAAAACTTATTGTCAGTAGTTAAAATTTATAAACCACGTAGGTTCATGTCCATACTCCTATCATCCTTCTTGTATCGGGCAGATTTTGTGCCGCTGTCTATCTTGATAAGGGGGCTCTTAATGTCGTCCAGGTTTTGTTCGTGGCTTGCTGTGTTGTTTCCTCTAAGCTGTTGGCTCATGACCTCCGCAGAAATGTTACCCATAAGCTTCACCAGTAAACCAAGTCTCCTCCTCTGTTAAATGGTGGTAGACAAAAAGAAATTTATTATTATAAATTTTTGTATTGTATTTGTCATAAATGTGTGTAGCTGACCAAAGCTCATTACCTTCTGAAATATGCTGTATTATCCCTCAAGGGTAATTACCCGCAGGTTTAGAACCAGTGCTCTAGGCAAGGTAAGATGTCCCTGTGCTTAATTAATTAAGCATTATCCATGAAGACATGTTTGGGAGTGGAGGTATATCTACACCATTGTTGACCTCAACACTAGAAGGAGTGAGTGGTCAGCTTCCTGCCCTGGCAGCTAGACCCCAGGGAAAGAGCCCCAGTACCCATTTGATAGGGGGCTGGGTGGGCTCCAGAGCTGGTCCGGATGCTGTGGAGTAAGGAAAGAAATCTCTTGCCTCTGACAGGAATCGCTAGGCAGGCTTTATTTTTGGCATTGTCATGGTTATATCACTGTCAGTTGGTCTTCAGAGGCAGTGAATTTGTGCACCATGTACCAGGAGGAAGCTGAGGATAACATGCGAGTAGTTGAGGGTGTCAGAAATGCTTCCAGAATCTTAACTGGAGGATGTGTCATTTCCTGGCAATGCAAGACTTTTCTTTTCTCCACAGAGACCAGGCCAAATCTTAGACCCACCTAGCCACCTATCCAATGGGTACCAAGAGCTCTTCACCCTGGGAGGGGGAGGGGGTGTGGGTGTAAAGTGGCAGGGGTGTGAAGCTGACCACTAACTTCCATCTTGTGCCAAGGGAAAGAAAGGTGGAGCTGTACTGCCACTTTCCTGTATAGCTTAATGACAAAGTGCTTAACGAAAGCACAGGGACAGTTTTATTTAGTTTTGCTGTGGGTGGCTGTGATGTTTAAACAATTGCTTGCTTCACAATTAACTCACAGTTAAGTACATTCATTACTATACTGCCTGCCTTAAAGTTAAGAAACTTTGCATTTTGCCCACTCAGTGTGTTTATGTATTTGATATATTCTCAGAATGAGCAGCAGCATTAAATGGTCTTTATAATGGGTAAGTATCATATTTTATATGTGGTGGGAACTGAATTCCGAAATTTTATATGAATATTAGGCTTTAAAGGTTTAATCATGAAATTTGTGTTCAACTAGTTCTATTCTGAAGGAAACTAATTGTGTGTTCAAAGGATTCTAGTATCCATGTGTCTAATACTGTCTCTTTTCCCCTTTATCCTGAAAGCTGCAATATGGAAACACTACCCATGCCCTTGTTCAATCAAAGGTTGGTGCTTTTTAAGCTTTATTCCTCTGTAAATATGTATTTTGCTGTGACTAGTACAGTGCCACTCATTAAGTGATAATTAGACTAGAGGCCTTTTTGACATCATTGTCTGGATCTTGGCCTTCCTTTTTGGAAATATGTTTCTTTATACTTTTATATGATTTTGTTATTTATTTTTATATTAAGCACATTTCTGTATAATCTTCTTAACATAGTTTCCGTTTCATGCAGGTTGATGAGCATAAGGTTGCAGTCTTTTCTAGCATCCTATAATCTTTCCTTTTCAGTTTCATGCCAGTATTTTCTTCCCCCTTTCTGGATGTCGTCCATTACCTAGAAAACATCTTCTGGGTTGTACCTTAGATCTCTTCACATTAAATTTTTAGTATAGCCATGTTCTTCAAATCTTTGTTCTGTACTTTCTTTTTACTGACCAAACCACAATAAAAATTTATTTTCTAATTCTGTGAACAACTTTTGAATTCCATCTTGTCATAAAAATGCCATTTTATTCGACTTTCTTTATCTTGAAAAAATAAAAGTAGACCTTGCTGTCTCTGTATGCTTGTGTTTATGTCTGTGAGTTAGTTCAGGTTTGATTTCCTCATGTAGTCGTACTTATACATAGTTTCTGACATATATATTTATGAGCTAATTACAAGTAGTTTCACAATGTTAGAATATACAGTAAAACTTGGTTATAGCAACATCGGTTTCTGCGACACCTTGTCTATTGCATCAAATATTCAATGGTACGAACTAATTCCTCATAAAGCAACCGTTTTATACCTTGCTTAGTACAACATGCACAAATGCATCAACCTCGTATGTAACGTCATTTTCATTCCCGAATTTCTCTGATATGGACATTGAACGTAATTTAGAAAGTGTGTATTGGGCAAGTAACAGGAAACAGATGAAGATAACTGATTACTGTACTCGTATCTAGGTACAGTAAGGCACAACAATTGATGTAATCTACTGTAATTTGGTGAGTAGGCCTACCTTTAATATACAGTATTAGTGCGGTGTGTATTGTCAGTGAAAAGCGCTGTAATATGTCTTTGATATTACACATTTGGGCAATTCCACATTAATGTTACGTTAGTCTGTATTTAACTACGTATTTCACTAAAAAATGCAACATTTTAACTCGGTTTTTGGTAGATTTTTACGTGACTAACATAAGGCTACTGTGGAAGTGCCCATTTCGGTTACAACGACATTCATTTATAACGACACTATTTTTAGGTCCCTTTGATGACGTTATAACCAAGTTCTACTGTAGTAAGTATGAGAGGAAAACAAATACCATGATAATGAAGAGAAACACATGAAGTTTACAGTTTGCTCTGCACCATAGTGCTGTTGCTGTTGTGAATGAAACAGAGACTGATTTAGGTGTAGAGAAAGGAAAAAGCCTGTTTTTGTTTGTGGGAACTGATTCAGAAGTATGTGCTGGGGAGATTTCATGCACATTGCACCAGGAATCCATCAGGCAAGCCTTCTGTATATGAATGGTGCAGAAAATTTATGCAAAATGGATGTTGTGTGACACATGGTAAGAAGATTGGTGGGCTTAGCATGAGCAACAAAGCAATGGAGTGAGTAAGGCTAGCATGTCTCCATTGTCTACATGTTCTGTGCTAGCCATTTGTTACGTTTCCCATTGCCAAATATGTGGAGAGCGCTACATTGTGATCATCTGAAAGTAGAACCATGCAGATTACAGTTCATGCCAGCAGTAACAGATTGTGATGAAGGAAAATGGAAAGCAGCCTGTGTTGACATGCTGACATGACTTAAAAGCTATCAGATGCACACTCAGATATGTTTGCAGCGATGAGTGAACCTTACATGTTAGTCATAGAGCCAACACTTACACTCTTACATTGTGATAAAGCAAAAGCCAGAGCTGTTATTATATGCAGCAGCTGCATGGAAATGTTATGAGTTTGTACCTTTTGTGTGTTGACTTTGACAAATGTTTATTGGTCTTTTTTTTTTTTTGTGGATAAAACAGTTCAGATATTGAAAAGTTCAGTCATCTGGGGTATAATGCGATGTAGTCTTTTTGAAAGTCAGTCAACATTTCAGAAGAAAATGTCACCTCCATCTTCACTTTTGAAGAATAAGCCAAGCTGGAAACCAGCATTAAGAAGATAGCAAGCAGAGCACCCATAGCAACCATAGCTTCTTTCCAGGCTGAGGGGAAGGAGTACTCTGATCATATGCAGTTGTATCTGGGCAGCAGGACATTATAAGGTAGTGATCGCTAGGCCCATGTCAGAAGAGGTTCCTGATCCCAGGTTGAGGTGCATAGCAGCACCTGGATTTAAAAGGAATCCGTCAAACCGAGCACACCTGCTGGAAATTGTATGTCCCCTTTCATCCATGAGGACTTATCGTGAAAGAGCATTCTTTGTGAAGTCACTAAGAAAAATAAATGGTAAGGGTAACTGAGATATTAGGTTAGTTGGGTCTGCCAGAGCTATTGATATGCCTCATGGTAAAGACCTACAAAATATGGCAAAAGAGAGAGGTGCTAGGTTAAAGAAGATAGAAGTGGTCTGTACTGGTGAGTGCAGGTTAAGAGGAACAGAATAAATGCAGTCCCTGACTAAGGTAGCTGTCCCTCTGCTTGCCATGTCACCATCAGGGTGGTCATAACTTAGGCAAATAAAACATCAATGTTTAACATATGGGTGGCATGGAAATGACACTTCTGGGAACAGATCCCAATATATTGTGACATGATGACTGAGAGCCAGAATAGTAGAGCCAGAATAGACGTTCATTGCTAGGCAAGGACTCAGTAAACACATTTCCATGGCAATGAATATGCAAGCAGCAGTCAAGTAACTTCCATTCCTATGCAACAGCACTGTAAAAATGTCTCCCAAACAATAGAGAGGCTTTGTTTTCTGTGTGGTCTATGCAAAGTGGTTATAAAGAAGAGTTTAGTTGAGAAGAATTGAGTCGAATTTCTAGACGCCAGCCTGCCAGGATATGAGCTTGGACACTGTAGGTCAGGGAACGTTGTATGGAATCTGTTCACATTCCTCTGAAGCAGTGCCATAAGGAGTGATCAAAAGGAACAGTTCGGCCAATGAAAGAAACTATACTGATACTACAGGAGATTGTATGAGTCTGTATGCCTACATCTTGGGGGTGCCAAGATCACCAAGACCAAAGATGCGCAGTGGGTCAGGTCAAATGTGGATATCATGTTGATGGTTTCTTTTTACATTGAAGGTTTTGTGTGTCATGAATTCTTATTTTGGGGGCAAACAGTGAATCACTGATATTATCTTGAAGTGCTGAAATGTCTAAGAGAAAATGTCAGGAGAGAAAGACCTCAGTTATGAAGAAACAACTCCTGGTTCCTCCATCATGACAATGTGCCAGCTCATGCATTGCTACTGATTCATGACTTTTGGCCAACACAAACACAACTGTGCTTCCTCAGCCGCCCTATTCACCTGGCCTGGCTCCAGAAGATTTGCTTATTTCCCAAACTGAAATCCTCTGTGGTTTTTTAACACAGTGCATCACACATTACAGACAAGCAACCATGTACAACCCAAGAACACCTAAGTAAAACTGTTGGTAACCCACATAACCAAGCAATGAGAGACACCATATTACAGTGAGCAACAGAATCCTGAACTATAACAACCTCTACACCTGAAGATGGCCAGTAGACTGGAAGATGTAGTGTCCAGTAAAGGAATAAGAAGAAAGAATGGTGAACGACATTGCACTTGGACAGCACAAAAGCTCCAAAGTCAGAAATAAGAAATAGGTAAAACTATAGAAGAGGAAGAAAATGGAAACTGCTGTGGTGAACACAAACAGATGTGGCAAAATCAATAAGAGTATGATATGACATATGTAGGGATGCTGTGGTTTGGCATGCAGCATATAAAACGGGCCAGTAAGGAAGATGAAAGGGGTGATTATAGAATTGTGTATATGATGCAAGAAAGTGGTAGAAGGTGAGAATGAGAGAAGGAATGCTTGAGAGTCCCTTTTGCATTCCCCTATCAGGATGAGGACCAACCTGCCTTGACAGGCTAAGAAATGTCAGTGAACTTCTACTGGATTGACGTCACAACTCAGAAGATGTTGCCACATTCCATGAAAGGACCGAAGAGCAAGATTTGTGTCACTGTGGCCTGATTAAGTTCCTGGTATGCTCTGTGTGGTGTGTGTGAGGGAATTAGATGCCATTAAGATGTGTGCTGCCTCATCCCCAGTGCTCATGTTGAGCATCTGTAAATCATATATTGGATGTGTTTCCCTTCAGACTCTCATTGGTTTCCTTTCATGTGATAACGAATGTAGCTGTAACAGTTTAAAGTCGTAAAGCTGCTTTATAATTATACTGCATATGTGTGTCTGTTTTATATAAACACACAGACACAGTTATTCCCTGAAACCATGATTATGCATTAATGTGATTTCATTTTTGAGTTATTTAATTCTTTTTTCAATGAGTACAAAAATATAATATCTTCACTTCCCCCATGTGGCGAAGTGACCTAATGCTCAATTAGTTAAGCACAGAAACACCTTTATTTTTAGGGAAATATAACGATATTATTTATTTTAAAGAAGTAAAATTATGATTTGTAAATGGGCTGAAATTCACTGCATTACAGTAATTGTATGTGTTTCAGCAAAAATTGGAGAAGTGAAACCAAGGAGTAACAGGAGTTCAGTTTAATGAAATTTGATGTTAGCGACCTTTACTAAAATGTATCAGCATATTCCAGTTCTGCTTAAAATTAGGCAGGACTAGCAAACTTTTCTTTGAAGATATGCACTCATTCATACTTATATCCACATTGTAAGTCACAGAATATTTATCAGAGTAAAAAAATACAGTTTTAAGAACAGTTGTAGAGAAAAATGAACCGTGCATCTTCTACCAATTAAACTTTTCTTGTAAATCTTAACAGTTTTCAATCTAATTAAACAAGGAGCGCACCCATCAGTAACTAGAATTGTTGCAGTGTGCATATTTTTCCTAACTGCTTTGAAAGTATAATCTAAACTACTCTGTATGTGCCAAATTGAAGTCCTGGAAGTATTAATTCTAGTGTAAAACCTCTGTGACCAAGTAACTCAGATGCTTTACTCTTAAGCTCAGATTTGAACAAACCTGAATGAAGCAGATGTTAGATTTGTTGGTAGTCTCTCATTTTCCATACTCTCACATTCCTAATAAGAACTTCATATGTAATCGCAATTACATAAATATGTCTTCTAGATAATATGCAAAAATGATGTTCCTCTTAAGGGATATTGTTAATTTTATGATGTATTCCGTTTGAATGTAGCTGCCTTCTGAAACATACCTCCATTTGGTATGAAGCGAAAATGAACATATTTTAATTTGTTGGCATTTTTCTTGTGTTTCCTCAGATGCACACCCTCCGAAGTACCGCCAACAGCAGCAGCATGGCGTAGGTTCACGACAAGCTAGTGGAGGTTCAGGCAGTCCAGAGACAACAGCCGCGCAGACTGGCACCATGCTGTCAGAGGACTATGCAGAAATTGTAGATGAGGAGGGAGACTACTCAACACCAGCCAGTGAGTAACTCTCTGACTGCAGGTCACTGAAACATGAGCTACTGTGTTAGATTTGAGGTTTCACATCTGTGATTGTGAAGACTACTGTCTTCTGGGGTCCTGCTCTGTGAATCTAGTACAAGTTTACCAGTGTGTTGGAGGAATATACAGGGTGATTCTAAATTATTGTCATGGTTTCTGTGGCCAGTAGGCATGGAGGTGAAGGTGGTTATGAACAACCGTCCAGTCATATGTGGTATACCTAACTGCAAAGATGTTTGTCAAGTTGATTTTTGTGGTCTTCAAGAAAACGCTTCGTGGATTCGATCAACACCTTCTATGAAGTGGTCGGTCTTCCCGCTCCTTTTCGGTGCAGAACTCTACCAGTCTCTTGAACTTGCTTTAACCAATGTTGGATAGCATTACCTGAAGGTGGATGTTGTCCATATTGAGTTCTGTAACGACAGTGCATTTTGATAATGGACTTTGTTTCTAAAAACCAAAATACACACATTGCTTCCTCTTGAACAGTTGACATCTTGAGGTAGAATGATGTGTTTTCTCCCAGACATCGATGCAGCGAGTACAGCATTGCCAAATAAAACTTTCTGAGTTAACATTTTCATATTCCTTAAGCAATTTTATTTTGCTGTTTCTGGTTTGAAAATTATGGGCGATGAAAACCTTGACAGTCATTTAGAATCAAATTGTACTGCTTCCACCTTCAGGTTGAAAAATAAGGGAAGCAAGCAGAGCAAGTGGCATGCAGAAGAACTGGTATGGACATAAGCCAGAGAAGGAGCCATAATGGTACCTGCAATAGTAAGGAGAAGATTGAAAGCAGAGGAGCAGTGAGAGTAGCAGCAAAGTTGATCCCTGGGAGATGAAGGTCTGCAAGGAGAAGAACAGGACTGATTGAGGCTGAAAGCAGAATGTGCAGTGAGACGAGAAGCTAAAGCAGGAACAGAAGGGAACAGGAGAGTCATGTTATTACAGAAAGGGGATGCACAGAGGGTGAAGGGGGAAAAGGAGGAGCGTGAGGACAGACACTGTGGGCTGGAGGTAGAGTGCAGCACAGGATAAATGGGAAGAACTAGAAGAGGAGGGAGAACAGCACAAATGGATAAGAAGAATCAGAGGAAGGAGATCATGATGGGCAGCCAGTGGGAATTATGGGCATAATATGGAAAGGGGATGAGAGGAGTGGCATGGGCTGTAATTGTACTGAGATGATCACTGCCCATACCCTGAAAAGTGCCCTGTACACCAGACCAGAAGGCCTGGATATAGAACCCAGTCACAAGAAATCCTACGAGAAGACTTCCTGTTTTCCATGATGTATGTAGGAACAAGCCATCCTCACTGTTGGTGTTGTTGAAATGGAACTTGATCTCATTTGCCTCCATGACAATGTGGTCCATATATCTGAACATGGTGGAGAGGATAGATATGGTGTATGCATGTTGATCCTAGTGCCTGTCTGCCCAGTGTAGACCTGACCACACTCACAGGGGATGCTATATGCTCCTGATATCTTCAGGTCCAGGTCATCCTTGGCTGGTGGAAGAAGGAAAGTGGGGGGTTTCCCTGCTAATGTGGATATAGGTCAACCCAACAAAGAGCAGAAAGGCAACCAAAATGGAATCTTCACAGGATGGAACAACGCTCTCAGGGGGCTTTAGCGCCCAACAAATATGCCAGCTGCCATAGCCATTCTTGGCTGAAGGTGATATGTAGAAGCTCCAGCTCATCATGCAGACTACCTCAATGGCACAGATCTTTTCCCCTCTTCACCAAGGTGGAAAGTAGGGCATGGATGCAGTTCAGGTCGCAGATCCCCTCTTGTGGTGGCCAGGTTTCCTGCTTGAGTGCCATCTCTTCAGAATGTTCCATGAAGAAGTCAGCAATCATTGGGGACAGAGGTCAACCCATAACCATGCAATCAGTCTGTTCATACAGCTGGCCTCCAGAGCAGAAGACAGAAGTCAGAATGTGGTAGAAAGTCTCAGAAAACACAAAGCCATGGTTGTCTTCCCCTCCTGGGTGCTGATATTTACAGCAAACATGGTAGCTCTATATGTATACTACAAGCTCGCCCACACTAGTCTGTACCCTAACTGAGGCTTCTTCACTCCTTTCTTGGTTTTCATGTGATGGGATTCTCAAACCAGGCCTTCAGGCCACCTGCATCCCATGTCATTTCTTTCATCCTGCCTTCGCCCCATGTTATCTGTCTTCCAACCACATCATGACTGGCCTTCCCTCCCCCCTGTTACCTGTTTCTGCTTCAGTTTCTTCTTGTTTGTCATACTGTGTCTTCACCTATGTTCTCTGTGCTCTGTCTCCATATGTTTGCCATTCCATGGTATTGTGACTCTCCCTTCTCCCTTTGTACTNACATCATGACTGGCCTTCCCTTCCTCCTGTTACCTGTTTCTGCTTCAGTTTCTTCTTGTTATACTGTGTCTTCACCTATGTTCTCTGTGCTCTGTCTCCATATGTTTGCCTTTCCACAGTATTGTGACTCTCCCTTCTCCTTTTGTACACTGCCTTAAACCCCAGTGAGTCTGTTATTGTCTGCACCTGCCCAACATTCTCGTCAGTCCTGCCACCATCTGTCTGCCCCCTCTCTCTAGATTCTGACCAGTGATCATGGTAGGTCCTCTGCTTCTTTGCTGTTCTCCTTACAACTGCTGATTCTCTTAGGGCTGCTTCCCTGGCCTTTGTTCATATCAGTTTCTCTTCCTGCTCCCTTCTGATAGCTTGGACACTGAATATGAAGGGAGTACTTTTCTCTGAAATGTTATTATTGGACTTCTACTAGACTATGCAGTGTAACATCCCAGAAAATAGTACTCTGCAAGAACAATTGTTCGTAAACAGGCAGAACTCTCTAACGCTCTAGTAGCAGTACCCAGAGGTTCACCACTGCTAATGATAAAATCCACCCATTGAATTTGTTCTCATACAGTTTTTTCGCATCCCATCCTTGCAACATATTTTGCTAATTTAGGTTACATTAAAATAATGGTGGGCATTACTGACTCTTGAACCCTGAGCATATTGTCTGTTGTGCATTACATCCTTTTTATGCTACCCTCATATCTCTTTCTGAGTTTTCAAGAGGCTCTTTTCTGTATGCAGTGTTTGTCCCTCCCTGTTTTAACTATATGCCCAGCCTATTGAAGTCACCTAAGTTTCATTGCTAGGTACCTTGTATCAATAATGAAGTTCTACATTGTGTAATGTACTTAAGCACATTCACTGTAAATGCAAATAAGATATAATTATTTGTTCTTTAGTTATGAATTGCAGTGAATTACTTTGTATGAAGTGCAGTACAGTCATATTAATCTGGCGCAGGGTTGAGTCCAGTGGCAGGCTGTTGTCAAGACAGTAATGATCCTTTGGATTCTATAAAAGATGGTGATTTGTTGAGTAGCTGAGTAACTGTTAGCTTCTTGAGAAGTACTCTTCTGCAAGCAGTTAATTAATTAGTATTTACAGATATGTCTAACAGAAGAAACGGATCATAAAATTTTGTAAACTTCAGTAATAATATGCTCCCTAATGATTAAAGTGTTTATTTTGATTTTATCCCTTGTTTTTAAATTTTATGTAAAAATCAGAGAGTTTTGGAAATGGGTTCTTCTGCTTCTGTCTTCAGGTGGAGAGGATACGAAAAGATTTCTCCTCTGTTGGATTTTAGATTATTATGGCAATGACTATGAAGGGTACTCTCTTCTGTGATGTCATGATCGCCAGTATTTTAGAGGAACATATGCTTCCATCTGCAGGGTCAGAGAGTAAGTTAGCAAGTAATTAGGAAGAAACAACACATCTCAGAAGACAATAGTCTTCATATTTCTATTCTCTTGGGTTTCTAGTTGAGTTATCATGCATGAGAGCATGAGGGTACTTCTACTGAGGGCCCTAACAGGGTTAGGAAGGTCTTTGTGTCCTCTTCACATGGCAATTGAAGTACAATCTATGGTTTACATATTAAACTGTAAGACGATGGACAGAGTGTTGTTGTGTCTCACCATTGCTGAATATTTTAAACTTACAGTAAAAACCACTATTCATGGTTTCTTCTCATGCACGTGGTAGCGTAGTTGGTTGAGGCACTATGCTACAAGCTGGAAGGTCACGGGTTCAAGTCCCAATGAGGTCATTGGATTTTTTCAGTTGACCTAATCCTTCCAGCCACATTATGGTCCAGGGGTCGAGTCAACCTCTTAACAGAAATGAGTACCAGGAATTAATTAAATAGTTTTCCTGGGGAGTAAAGCGTGGCCGGTGCGTAAGGCTGACAACCTTACTGCCATCTTTGAGCCGACTGTCTAGAGAATGCGGAACCCTCAATGCCTCACAACCCCATGGGCATTCACGGCCCGTTACAGGGATAGCTTTACTTTTAACTTTTACTTTTTACCAGTGGCGTTGAACACTAACCTGAGAAAAATCTTATGGAGGTCATTTAACACTCAGATTATTGATTTTTGTGTTGTTGAGAGAAAATCTTGAAGAGAATAACACTGAATGGGTGCTCCACAATAATAAATATCTTGTGTGTATGCAGCCTATATCCCTGTTCTGTCAGTATTCTGTAATCCATAAGAAAAGTAAAACAAATGAAAACAGTTGGCATCTGAAATACTTTTCAGCTCGTGACTATGAGCTGGTGCGAAATCAAGTGGAATTAGCTGAGATTATAGGTGAGGGACAATTTGGTGATGTCCATAAAGGAACATTCAAAGGACGAGACAACCAAGTGATCCCAGTGGCTGTAAAGACTTGCAAAGCTGATGCTGACCTAGCAACAGCTGAGAAGTTCCTAGAGGAGGCCTGTGAGTATTCCTTATGTTGCAGTCCTCTTTTCTAGCTTTTCAAAAGTAAGGATTCGTTCAGTCTGAGAACATCAACCCAAATTATTGTATTGATCTGCAGATTTTTTCATAATTCATTCAGGCTCTAATAATCAGATACAGATATATCATTACACACATGCAAGCATGCACATATGCAGGATAAACAGGAAAACATTTTGCCAAAATTTGGTATAAGATGCCACACACACAGAAACAGTGAAAGAAGCCTGTATGAACATGTGTCCAAAATAGTCACATATCAGAACTATAGATCTTCTGAATTTTGAAATATCTGAGGGCAACATTCTGTCTAGCTTACCATTTTCTTTTTTCTTGAGGCTCTAACACACAAAATGCATCAGGTACGCATTACAGCTCATGTATTCGTATTGTTTTGTTACTGAATACACTTGAATTTAATGGGAGACATATACAGACATAGGTTACTCAAATATGTATTATGCTATTCATGAAGATGTGAATTCAGGCACTCGTGTAGGTTCATTGCTGTCGTGTTACCTATATAGCCTTATTAAGTGTCCACATTGGTTAACCTGTTGATTTCACTTTAGAGCTCTTGACATAATTGTACTGAACTCACATACATGGACATTTTCTATGTGTATGTTCTGAAAAGGAAAAACCTTCAGAAGGCCTCATAAACCAAGTCACATTCCATGATATATATTAACTACACTACAGATTCGCTTGGAAATATTATCACTACTCACAGCAGTTGATGTTATTCTAAGATATAATGCTGTGTAGTCTGGTAGTGGGTATATGACACAAACTCCATCTTAAGTGCAACAATTTATTGTAGTTCTTTCGTCTTCCTTTCTTCTACGCTACATGTTTCGGCCGTAAATGGCCATCATCAGGTGTATACTCTCACGTAGCTGCTACACTGCATGTAGTTTAAAATTTAAAAAACACTAGTCTTCCCAATTGTTCATTTCTCTGTTGGTAACGGTTTTGATATATCAGAATCCTCCCTGCTGATATCTGTCAGATATGTACAGAGTCTTTGTTAACCTACACACGTCAATTTGATTTTTAAAAACTGGCACTTTTAAAATCTTCAATTCCAATTTAAAATTTTTAAAAATTTTAAAATTTAAAATACTCAGGGGTACCCGCCCTATGTCTATAGTGCTGCAGTGGCTACTTCTTGTTTTCACCACTGTTCAGGTATTATTCTATGTAGGCTCCCTGCGTGTGTGCCGCTGCTTATCTTTAATACGTTTATTAAAGATGAGCAGCGCCACGCACACAGGGATCCTACACAGAATAATTGTGTAGAGTGTAACAGGATGCTTAAATATAATACTGGTAGTGGGTGTTTACCAAGCTAGTCCAGACTACCGATGAAGTCTTCATGGGCAATCAGTCATGTTGCTGTGGAGTTAGTATTCTGCGTATTAGAGACTCTCTCTGGCTCCATCATCAGGGGTTTATGTCAACATCTGATGATGGACATGTAGAAAGTCTCGTAAACATTGGGTACAAGTTCCATATTGACACGGTTGATTGCCTGAAAATATTTTGTTGTGTACAGTAACCATGAAAGCTTTAACTTATATGTAATGTATGCTAGACTCTATAGCTGACTGCCAGACTGCATTGCCATGCATCACAAAAGACTATGATCTTAGTACCAAAATTTCTCCCACTGTAATCTTCCATTATCAGAAATGTTTTGTAGAATCCTTGTAAATTCCTTGACTAGCTGAGTGATCATTAGCATCTCAATCAGAACTCTGCTCTGTGAATTTTCAGTCAGTCGTCTTGTAAGTGACATATGATTATAATCTTATTCTCTTTATATATATAGAAGTTAGGTTAACTGTCACACAACAAATATTCTCGCTTTTAGTGTTTTACAGTAGGCTTTTTATTCATGCTGCATGTTTTGGTCGTACAAGACAATCATCAGGCAGTTAATATGTTTAGTTATTGAACTACCGATATGGATCCATACCAATGCAACTCGTCATATTATATACTAACAGAAAATTTTTTTGCCTCAAGCTGGTAAGTATTACAATTAAAATAAGATGAAAAATAAGATAAAAGATAAAATATATAAAAAATGAAATATATACCATGTACCAAGATATATTAGGTGTTATAAATTTTGAATCTATGAGAGAAAAATTAAATATTAGAACTATTACGTATGGGAGGTAAGAATATGTATGCCAGTTAATTCTAGGTTCCAGTACTACAATGTAGAATTTGGCATGTTATGTCATTATAGATCTTTGTTATTAGAAGCTTTCTATGTAGTAAGCCTGGTCGTGGAGCCCAGTTTCTATGATGTATGGGTTGTTAATGTGTGATGTATTGGGTGTGCATATTTCCGATTTGTGTCATTGTATGATCATAAAATGTGACCTATGCATTTGTGTCTGGACATATGTATGTTTGATGTGTGGATCCATATCGGTAGTTCAATAACCAAACATACCAACTGCCTGATGATTGTCTTGTACGACTGAAACTAGTAGGGGGAATAAAAAGCCTATTGTACAACATTAGAAGTGAGAATATTTGTTGTGTGGCAGTTAACCTAACTCCTATATTTGTGTCTGAAACACACAACAGGATGCAACCGATGAAGATCATTTTCTTTATTTGTAGCTCTCACTTTTTCATATACACAGCATGAGGCAGTACTGGTATTTTATTGATCCTGAGACCTTGATGGTCTTATACATTTTGATCAACCCGGAATGTGAAAAATTGGTCTTTGGAGTGCTGTCTCTGTGTATTTATGTGTGCCCCACTAATGCCTGAACACTTGGACATGTTTTATTCAGATTTGGTGCTTAAAGAGTTTATCCATCTTAGGTCAGTGTCATGTGAATATGACCATTTCAGCTCCAAAAATAGGTATCCTTAATAGAGAACACCAAACAGAAAACAATGATTTTCTTGAACACATTTCTGATGATTTTGATTAAATTTCCATAATTTAGGAGACTGCCTGCCTAAGCAAAGCTGTAGAGGTTATTTCTTCATGAAAATAACAGTACAGCATATAGCAGCCCGGATGCATATGCAATATCTTTGCACTAGTTTTTTGCTTCTTTTTATAGATTTTGTGTTTAAGTAACAATGTTTACAGATAATAATTACAAAGAAATGAGAGGTAACTCTGTGACAAGGAAGCAAACTTCATCTTAAAAGTTAGAAGAAACATTTAAAGACAAGAGGCTCTGCTTTGTATACCCACAATGCAGCCATAGCATTCATTGTTGAGAGAATACAAAATACAGGTTTCAAGAAGTGTTTCTAGATACGTGTTTTTTTTTAATGAACGTGACAACATCTGACAACAGACACTATTGTTGGCAAGTCCACCTTCCAGAAGAGTTAGTACTACTTTCAGCAAACACATACTTGCTCATAGTCTCTCACAGCACCAGTAGGATTTTATTGTATAGAGAGAGACGCATGTCAGATATTTAAGTCACAACGTTAATAATCTTGGCAGCAAGGTGACCACAACGTGACATAACACAGTGCTCTCTTGTAGGGTGACTTTTGGTAACTCCCTGTTGTCTCATATTCTGAGAATACTGCTGTTATCAATATAATGATTGGAGCTCTTCCTGCTTTGTTGCCAGATATAATGCAACAGTTTGACCATCCTCACATCATCAAACTGATTGGTGTGTGTTCAGAGAGTCCTATCTGGATTGTGATGGAGTTGGCAAGGCTGGGAGAGATGCGAGCTTACCTGCAGAGCAACAAGCACCGTTTGGACTTGGCAACATTGCTGCAATATACATTTCAACTCAGCACTGCACTTTCTTATCTTGAATCTAAGAAATTTGTGCACAGGTTAGAGAAATGTTTCAGAGTTTGATCACACATGCTTTAGTTCATAACTATGGTAGATCAAGAAGCTCACTAAGTTTAACCTTTTGACTGCCTTACAGCTCAATAATATACGTAGGTAGGCTGAAAAGTAATGCACACATGCTTGTAGAGCGCGAATGAAATGCCCTTCAGAAGCGCGCCAGGTGGCTTGTGGAACTAACATTCCCCCTCAATATGCATGCACAGGTTTGAGGTCGTTGCGTTCATCCAGTGTATTTCGAGAAGCGGAAGTATGGAGACGTGTTCTAGTGCTATGTCAACGCGAGTTAAACAGTGTGCTGTTATCGAATTTTTAACTGCTGAAGAAGTGACTCCTACTGAGATTCATCATCGTTTAAAGGCTGTTTATGGTGGCGATGCTGTTGATAGGTCAACTGTAAATCGATGGGTAATACAATTTCATGGTTGCGAGCCTGGAAAAGCCATAATTGTTGATGAAACATGCAGCAGACGTCCGATCACTGCCGCAGACGATAATCATCGCAAACTCGTCGACGATTTGATTCAAAATGACCGGCAAATCACTCAAAAGCGTAACGCAAACCATATTGGAATATCCAAGGAATGTGTCGGCTTCATTATTGAACAGTTGGGATACCGTAAAATCTGCGCACGATGGGTACCACGCCGTCTCACAGACGAGAACAAACAGCGTAGATTGGAATGCTGCGAGCAACTTTTGCAGCGCTACCGTGATGAAGGAGACGACTGTCTTTTGAATATTGTGACGGGGAATGAGCCATGGGTCCATCATTATGACCCGGAAGAGAAAAGACAGAGCGCTGAATATCGACATCCGTCTTCTCCTCAGGCGAAAAAGTTCAAAACACAACCATCCGCCATAAAAATTCTTTTGACTGTGTTTTGGGATGCTCACCGAGTTTATGTGACCGATTTTCTGGAACGAGGGACAACGGTAAATTCTTCTCAGTACGTAAAGACTCTAAAAACACCTCCGTCGTCGAGTTTGTTGTGTTAGAGGCAGCCTGGCACCAATAATCTTGCAACATGACAACGCTCGTCCACACACCTCGCGCGCAACTGAAGAGGCTCTGCGAAACCTGAAGTTTGAACCGATTCCACACCCTCCTTATTCCCCCGATCTTGCGCCTTGCGATTTTTATTTTTTTCCTCTACTCAAGAGAGACCTCAAGGGTAATCATTACACCTCGGACGATGAGGTGAAGGCAGCTGTCAAGTCCTGGATTCGAGAAAAGTCGGAAGAATTTTTCAGTGACGGAATGAAAAAACTTGTTACACGTTGGGAGAAATGTTTTAGCCTTAACGGTGACTATGTTGAAAAATAAATAGATGCTTTTGAAACTTAAGAATTGTACTTTAATGTACTTTTTGCCCAATCTTGCTATTTGTTTTTGTTCGCGCTCTACAAGCATGTGTGCATTACTTTTCAGCCTACCCACGTATAATATGTAGGAAATCTGATACCGTCAACACAACAAATATTTCATTGTTACATTTAGATCTTTATTTACTGCGACATGTTTCCGTCATGCATGACCATCATCAGGCAGGAATATGTATAGTTATTGAAATACTGATATGGATCCTTATCAGTGCAACGCATCGTATTAAATATTAACATAAAAACTTTGCCTCAAATTAGTGTATAGTTAAAATAGCAAATATATGATTAAGAATTAAGCCTTACAGCTGCCCACTAGAAATGCAAAGGCTCCTGTGCAGTAAGTACAGTTTCACAGCAAAGCCCACAGATTACCTTCAAATGATAGCAAGCATAGAAAGCATGAAATTTAACAGCTCCTCCCCTCTTTACCCTACAGTTTGGGGGATGGCCACTGCATTTGACCCTATTTCTGTTGTCAGTGCTCCCCAGATAGAACGGGGTGGCCAAGCTTAGCTTTAGTAAGAAAAGACTGAATCTCCAAAATAGTTGTTTAATAACATTTAATAACAATAACAAAAATACAAAAATAAATAAGACTTAAACCATTATGTGAGCACTTCAAGTATGCATATGAATCTATGCCCTTGACCACCTTGGTCAGTCCAGACTGAAACCCAATAAAAGAAAAATATACGTGAGGTAGCCACATGGAGCCATCTATTTACCCCAGACCTAGAAAATGACCAAACTCAAGTAACATTGCGAGGAAACCCAAATCATAATGTTGCTCCATTATCTAGTCATACAACAACACTAAATGGGGCAGCAGTGAGCCCAAACAAATAATAATATAATATCAGACAAAACTCTCATTACATCCCAGAATGAAAAAACACATACTCCTGCAATGAGGAGGCCCCTTGCCCTCAACAGCCAGAGCGAAGAGTCCAGACACAATTTGGAAATCCCAGCCAAAACAGAATTTAGCAACCTGCTTTGCCTAGGTGCTGGGAAGCAAAGATTGCTCTCATATCACTACCCACACCGACAGGTCTTTCTTTTCTAAACCAGGGAGGAATGGGAAATCACATGGTATATGGGTATATGGAATTATGGGATAATGGTAGAAAAGTGGTAACATAGCTGTGGAGGGGGGGGCATGAAAGAGGGGAGGATACTGCACAAAAAGGGCAACTCAAGAGCCATCTGAACATAACCATGGCTCAGAATTGTGTTCCCTCCTCCAACAGCTAGGTACTACCTATTACAAGAAATTCCGTTCAGGTGTGGCAGTTTTAATGCAGGTATGCCAGGTGGTCTGATGGTATTCAGAAGGGTAAATATTGGCAATGTGTATGTATGATGTTGTATATTTGAAAGCAGATAGAAAGGTGACATGGTGCTGAATCGGAAGAGCTACTTGTTTATGAGACACAATTTCTAACTATGTTACATTGCCATTTACTTTCACCAGTGAACAGCTTTCCAGTCCTTCCACCATGGGCACTGGAGGCTCAAACCTGTCACCTTTACAGTCTGTTCATTCCACACAGAAATGCTGCTGTGCCTTGTAGATGGAATTGTTCTGCTAGGTATTCAGGGTGCACTAATATTCATGTTGTCGCATGCTGGTGGCTAGACACAGGGTTTAGGTTGATACCTGGATTTATTGAACATTTATGACTTTCAGCTACAAATAACTCTAACATTCGTACTAACCCACAGTCTAGTGGCTGCGCCATAGTTCAAGTGGTTAGTCGCTGGCTTCCCACCGCGGCAGCCTGGATTCGATCCTGGGTCTGGTCAAGTGAGATTTGTGGTGGACAAAATGGCGCTGGGGTGGGCTTTCTCTGAGTACTTCGGTTTCCCCTGCCAATCTTCATTCCACCAAATTCTCCATCATTATAATCACCCGGGGAAGGTACAATAAGCCAATCAGTGGCCTCCGTGCTGAGTGGATCCAGCTGTACCCCCCCCTCACACACACACACACACTAAAAGAATCCCACAGTCTACAAAGCACTAAAGCACACACTAAGTCTTCTGAGTTTAATCTGTCGTCATTGGTCATTGGTTGGTAGCAGCTTCCGATCATGGAGACTCTTCTGCTTCTGTGCTCACGGCTTGTGAGTTGCTATCTTGTCTCACTGGTCATTACATAGCCTCAGCACAGACTGCATAGGAAACACTACTTCCCGCAGTTCTGTTGTTGCATGCATATCCATTGCAACTGATATATGTTTACCAAGCCTTTGTCCAGCAATGACTGTCTCTTCTGGCTCTGCTATTCAGTCTTTCAGGCATTGTGTTCCAATATGTTTCCATAAATTTCATTAAAAATAGTAATATACATGTATTAGTGTCTTATATAGTATATGGGTGTTAGACATAAAAAAATAAAATACTGGTATTGATTTGCATATACAGTTGAAGCAGCTATGCTGCATGTTCAAATTCGGTCTGATGATTGATTGTATTGAATCTGAGGTTCTCATGACAGTGCCTGTGAAGAGGACTGTCCTCTGGGATGACACTGTATTCCAGTAGAGGTTCACTGACATTTTGGAGGGATGTACTCTCTCTGTCTTCAGGACTGAACAGTAAGCCAAGCAAGTAGACAGCAAGTAGATTTTCAAAATCCAAAAACGAAAAGTGAGAATTATTGTGAAGGCAAGAAATAAGGACTCTTGTCATCCATTGTTCAGGCAGTTAAATATTCTGCCCTTATATTCTCAATATATATTTTCTGTATAAATTTTTGTTAAGAATTTAGATATATTTAAATTTAATTCTTTTCTTCACAGCATTAAAACCAGACAAGGTTTTGACTTACATTTTCCAAGTAATAAATTAGCTAAAATGCAGAAGGGGGTATATTATTCAGGAATTAGGATATTCAATAATCTACCACAAGGCATCAGGAATCTATTAAATGATATTACTAAATTCAAACGGGCTCTAAAAGAGTTTCTTCCTGCTGGTTCATTTAATTCTTTAAATGAATATTATGAATGGAACACAAGGGGTGATCTTGGTTCTTATAAATAGTATCTAAAATTAACCTTGACAAGTCCTATTAACTAAAAATATATAAATAATCATCTACTTTAGATCTGCATACATACCAACTATGACTTTCACTTATTTTAACATACAATCTCTTGTTGTTTTATGAATTTATTTATTTATTTATGAATGTATTTATTACCATAATAATTTTTTAGTACACTTCTGAGAGAAATTATTTATTCAATTTCTTGCTCATGCATGTTAGAAGTTTTTATAGTTTTTCTTTTGATGTGTGAGTAATGTAACATACATTATATTATATTGTATTGTTTATTGATAATATCCATTCATATGCATTGTTTTTATAAACTGAATGAATTTTAAAAGATAAATGGTTAATATGTTTTCATCTAGTATTTAAGTCTTATTGTAGTCAAATTTTATTATGTTTAGTGACTGTGTTGTCTGTTTTATATTATGTTATTTTGACTTGTTCCAGTGATTGGTTGGAACATTTGTTTTGGTTTTTGACACATTCTATATCCAGTGGTGTGTGAACTTGTTTCTTGCCCTGTAATTGGATCTATTTGAATATAAGAATTAAAAAGAAAGGTTACTTGTTTGACGCTTACTGACCCAGAAGATGGAGGTAGTACATTGCTCTGAAGTACTAGTAAACTTCTTCCAGACTATGTGGCATGACATCCCAGAAAATAGTATGCCTTTCTGCTGATTGATTAACACTCATCCAGCTGATTGATCAGATCAGTTTATAATTTGTAAATTTGGCTTTTGGGGTTTTAGCTGTGTCGTATGTTGTTCTTCAAGCATTTTGGCATATATTACAAGTCAATATTTTTGCGGTGAATGAGGCAGAAGGAGGATTTTCCTCAGTTTATAGTCCTTGCAATGGAAGCATGGATGGAGATGTGGACCATTGTGCTGGCCACACCCCGGCCTTACTCCCCCCATGAGACTTATCAGGCTGTTGCCCCTCCCAGTGAATAGAATTGTGCTGCATACTCCACCCATACTTGTATTGCAAGACCCTTACAGTAAACTCTCGCTATCCAGTTACAGTTAATATGTACATTGGATAATACATATTGAAATATGAAAAATGCTCTTCACTGTTGCAGGAGTATTATGAGCACCTAAGAATAGTGAGGGAAATCCTAATTAAGAACAGCAGAAGAGATCTGTTCAGGCAAAACTTGACACTTTCTTCAAACCTGTAGAAGTACAATTTCTGAGTCTTCTATCGATGAATAAGTGTATTATCTTTTTATAGTTTTTAAACAAAAGCTCTACAATGATATTTTGTTATTTATTTTCATCAGTATTACTTATATCATTAAATTTTCCATTTATTTCTGTTCTAAGTTTGTGTAGGTCTTTTAGGGATTTCTTTTGCATCACTGATCTGGAATATTGCTTAATCTGGATGATGTCTTCACCCAATTAATCCAGCTTAGTGATGGTTAACTGTATGTTGGACCACATCCTCATTTCCATCATTCAGCCTTAAGATGTTAAGTGCAGTGTATGTCAAAATGTTGGAACAGCTTCAATACATGACATGTCTCAGAATATGAAATTCTGCATTTCATACAGACTGCAAGCACCAAAGCAAGCAATGGTCAGTTAATAATTCTACACACCTTTACTTTTGTGACTTTACAGGGATATAGCAGCTCGCAATGTGTTAGTGTCTGCTCACAACTGCGTGAAGTTGGCGGACTTTGGCCTGAGTCGTTGGGTGGAAGATCAGAGCTACTATAAAGCTAGTAAGGGAAAGCTGCCCATTAAGTGGATGTCTCCAGAATCAATTAACTTCAGACGGTTCACTACAGCCAGTGATGTGTGGATGTTTGGTAAGCTTCGGTGGCTGTACTCCACAAATCACATGATTTAGGCTGATCTGTGCATGTTTAGCCATGTTATTGCCAGTAGTTGAAACACATGCCAAGGGATGTTCAATGTGTAACTAGCAGAAGAAACTTCTTTTTGCATAATTTCTGTTTTATGTGGATTGCCCTCCCTCAGTCTCTCCTTTTGGATTCCTTGCCATCTCTTTCCTCTGTGTGAATGTTTGCCAAACCACCACCACCACCACCACCTCCACCTCCACCTCCACCTCCACCTCCTCCTCCTCGTCCTCGTCTTCCTCGTCCTCCTCCTGGACTGGCCCATAGGTATCTTTCATTGAAACTTATATCTATATATAATTCTGAGTATCCTTACTGTATCCATTCGTTTCATATAGCCAAATCATTGTAATGCTTTCTGTTCAAACTCTTATCAACAAATTTGCAATTCCAGCTTTTTCTCTAAAAGTTTTATTTATGATTTTATCCCTTCTTGTTTTCCACTCAGTAATTCTCAGAAATTTCATATTCATCACTTTCTGTGTTCTGCTTTTGTATCATTTTTTCCAAGTGCCCATGTTTTGACATTGTGTTAATATAAAATATAATTTATAAATTTTTGTTTGCATTGTTTTGGGATCTCACTGTTCCATGGCAAAAGAATATCGATCTAAAACTCATATTTTCAGAATTTACATTCCTGTTCAAATATTGTGATTTAATTTTAATGCAAATTTTTATTTGGCCAATTGAGTGAGTTGGGGAGAAGAGGTTGGAATATTATGTTTCTGGCTGAGGAGGAACGTGAGGCGAGGAAGGAAAATTATGCACAGTTTATATGATTTCACTGTTGTTGACTCATTTTATGGAACACAACTGATGCGTGAATCAAGGAATACCTGTAAGAATTCATCATTGTCACCATCATGGATTAAAATGTTAATCTGTTGCAGTTAGAAGGAATTCTCCCGTTTGTTTGATGGGCATCTCTGGAGTTTTCTGTTCCATCAGTGTACAGTGAAAGAACATCCTTTCTAGATTGTCTTGCCATTTTTCTTGATTATGGTGAATACTGTGTTCTAGGATGATGCCATATATTCTAGTAGATAGGTACCAACATTTTTAAGGAACCTGCTAGCTCCATCTTCAGGACGGGTGATGGAGTAGGTATATGCTTCTGAAATGTTGGTACCTTTCTACTGGACTGTGTGGCACCACATCCCAAATGACTAATTTTCATATTCATCATGCTGAGAAACTCAGGTTCCTTTGGCTGCTTCCCTTTTGTCATCATTTGATATCTGTTAGCGCCACTTCTTCTCCGATATCTGCAGGAAAATGTAATGCCATTTTCTTTATCGTTTTCATTGTTTTCTTTTAAGCATTTTGCCAAAGAGATATAAATCTTCTGTTCAGGTGTGTGTATGTGGGAGATTCTTATGCTGGGAGTGAAACCGTTCCGAGGTGTGAAGAACAATGATGTGATTGGAAAGATTGAGAGTGGCGAGCGATTAGCCCTTCCTCAGAACTGCCCACCACGTCTCTACAGCCTCATGTCTCAATGTTGGGCATATGAACCATCCAAAAGGCCCAGCTTCAAGGAAATACGTGAAGTGCTCAAGTGAGTTTGTTTGTCCCTTCTAGCTCACACACTGTCCAGTCTGATGATACAGGATATGAAAAGAATAATCTGGCAGCCAATTTAAATCAGTTGTAAACTGACAGCATCCTGTTTGTTATATTTTGATTCCAGAAAATATTGTTCCTTAGAAAAAATACAAATACAACTTAGAATGAAATTGTATCAAAGAAAGTATAGAGCTTGGGGCTTTGTTGTGTTAAAGGACACTGTGATTCATACATATTTAGGCTGTAACACTATTGCTGTTTGGAAATGACTTGGGGGCATTGCATCAGATTAAAAGAAATATCAGGAAGTAGTACCTGTGTAAGAGAGTCTGTGCATTGCATTAATAAGAGAATTTCATGCTTAGGAAGTCATGATATCAGCCATACTAATGAAGAAGTTCTTACAGTCTTCGTGCACAAATTAAAATAAGTGTAGACTTCATTCTGTATATGCCTTCTGTAAAGATACATTTCCTAGTGGAGTATCAAGTCATAGTTACTGCATTCCTGTTTATTTCCTACTATGCCATACTTTCAAGGGGACTAATGGCATCAGACATGCATGTACCACAAATTATTGTATTGCTCTGTTGCTGAATTGCTTGAGATTAGCAGGAGATATGTACTGACAGTCCAGTCTAGAAAACAGAGATTAACAGCTGTGAGGATCCATTGTGCTGACCACATGACACCCTCTATCCGCAAAAGTTAGCACTAACTTTGCTGATAAGCAGCCGTCGCTCGGTTGCTACAGTTCACTTGTGGACTACAGGCCACAGAGTTTGCCTTTTGTTTTATGTACTGACTGAGTTTACTCAACTGCAAACAAATGAAATCTATGGTACTTCCTTATTACAAACAAAATATTCTCACTCATTCTTGACGTATTACATAATTTTCATTAATCTAATTCTGGACAGTTTGTTCTTGTAACAACCTGGAATTGTGTAATTTCTCAGCCTCCATTGACTGTTGCAAATTTTGATATATATTTATATATAGAGAGAAATCAGTTTATTCTGTAGTTCAGGATGTTATGCTCATATGTTGTCTGTTTGATATGGTGACCCAGGTTCATTGTCAAGTGATTTCTTGTGAGATTCATGGTGGGTAAAGTAGCACTGCAGATTTTTCTTTGAATCTCTTCATTCATCATTCAACCATTTAATAAATTAATCTGTAACTTTTCCTGAGGTGTGTGATGATCCTATCCAGGCAGCACTTTCTCACATTGTGTCTAGGGCTCATCTCTGATATGGGTTGGTTACAAATTAAGGAAACTTCAGTTTTCTGATTACATTTCAAGAGATATCCATGTTGAAGATGGAAATCTTAAAGTGTAAAGGTAAAGTTGTCCCTGTGAATAACTAATTAATCACTGCCATGAAGATGTATGGGGAAGTGGATATATAAATCCACATTTTCTTGACCATGGCACTAGCTGGAGGTGAGTGGTCAGCTTCACACCCTTTCCACTCTACCCCCTGGTACCTGTTGGATGTGAAGCCCAGAGCCAGTCTGGACAACATGGAGAAGTGAGAATTTTTCCCTCCATAGGGACTCAGACTCCAACTCCTTGGCTGTCCAGTCCGTAGTCAGTTGCTATCCCGGCTCTTAATCATAAAGTGTTGCCAGGCAAATATTTTGCTTGATTCTGCCATCTCTTAACTTGTACATAAACCTTGTACAACAGAAAACCAGCTTGTAAGCGTTAGCTGTATCAGATTTTCACAGACTGACAGAGTATGCCTCACCTGTGTAATTTGTTTGCTGACAGAGAAAGGGCTGGTGGGATCATCTGTGTGTATAATCTGCTAGGTTGTTCCTTCATAGTAAAATAATAAGAACCATCAAGTATAACATGTATAAGGGGCAGTCAAATGAAAACGGGTCACCATGCATAACTCACACGGTGTGCAAGTTGGTAACACTGGAATTTGCTTACGGTACGAACCTGTGGTGGGGAGTCGGGAAAGCACAGTGACAATGTGCCCTTGCACACTAGTCGTTTGTTTATTGTGCTGGAAGTAAGGTTAGCGCTACGTGTGGTCGTCCAACATCAGTAATGGAAACGAATAAAGTAGAACAGTGAAGTGTATTACACTTTTTGACTGCTGAAGGAGTAGGAGGACGAGAAATTCATGATTGCATGTCTGTGGTTTACGGTGAAAACAGCTTGTCACGTTTGCATGTGCTGGTGTTGGTACTCTGTTGGTTCTTTATAGTACATAATTTTTCTTTTCACATTATTCACTGTTTCTCTTAAGCCTCAGGACTCGAAATGCACTCATTAGATTGTCTGTACTACTTTAGATTGTACCATCCAGAATCCTGAAATCCGGTCACCCTAGTCTGGTATGTCAGATAATGTTCTGACAATTCATAAAGCTTAACTGCTGCAATAAAATATTGTGTATTTTCAAGTTTCATGCATTACTCTCATTCTCAAATATGAATAAAAGAAGAAACAATATAAATGCATGCAAGGAGTTGACATTAGAAACAAAATTAAATTTTATGGCCTTCAAAACCATTTGGATTCAGTCTGTGGTCACCTGCACCACGAGTAAATCTGTTACCACCTCATCTATACTGCAGACAATCTAACAAATGCTCTTCCATTTCTGAAGCTTTTGAGGAAAGGAGAGAAATGTGAGAAGAAAAATTGTAATTTCTAAGAAACAATGGAATATCATCGTCTGATATTTTGTTGAGGAAGTCAGAGAGGGGTCCATTACCATACTGCGAAACTGCAGCTGCACTTGAGGATTTCAGTCAGCTTGATCCCCTTTTAGGGATTTCCTTGTTGCATATCTTTGTATGTTTGAAGCTAAATATTGTCACATGTTGGGCATATGTCATGCAACAACTAACTTCACGCCGTCTTGGATGTAGCAAATTTATTGAACGCTCACCCTTACATTTACACAATTCACAGTTTCCCAATTACTGCCATTGCCAGTATCACAGTTACACAAATGCTAGACTGCAACTGACTGGTTACTCTCTCTCACTGATGAATACTCCTGTTATTTAGCTTCCACACTGACAACACAGAAAACGGTTACGTGATAGCTTTCACTGTTGCATGACGTATTTACCGATTGCCTAGCAACAGTCGCTGCACAGGCTCCCCTGTTGCGTGATGCCATGTTTACAAAGGCGTTGCTGGGCAACACTGCATAGCAACCAGCACGCTTCGGCTTGGCTTGGCTTGGCTTGGCACAGACAATCACTGCTTTCCTTACTGTTGCATAACTTGGCAACTGACTGTTTATCTTCGTGGTAACTTGTTCCACCTCTGTTGCCCAGCAACAGTTAGACATGTCACAATATGTTTCTGTTGAACTGCAAAGCAGTTCATGTTAAGAAATCACAAAATTTTAATAGTATATTTTTTCGTACTGTTACTTTGCAGTGAGATCTTGATGGAGGAAAGGCACCAACAGCAGGAGACTATGAGAAGGGAAAACCGACGTGTGCAAGCCATGTCATGGGGTAAGTGCAGTCTTCCAGAAGGTATACAGAATTAAAATGTGGATAATCAGAAGAGGAATGCATATAGGATATTAGTGAGAAAGCCAGAAGGATAGAGACCGCTAGGAACACCAAAAATTAGGTGGGTGGCTAACATTAAAATGGATCATACACAGGATGGGTTTGGATTGGTGAATAGATTTATTGACCACTTACAGGTCGTAACTACGTAGGCGAGTCAAATGAAAACCTTAAATATTTTTTTTGAGTATTATTTATTGTGCACAAGTGGTACAAAGCTGTATCACTTTTCAGCATAATCTCCCCCACGCTCAATGCAAGTCCTCCAGCGCTTACAAAGTGCATGAATTCCTTTAGAAAAAATTCTTTTGGTAGTCCGCGCAACCACTCATGCACCACGTGGCGTACCTCTAATGTTTAAACCTGCTGCAATTTCATTTAATGTCACTTGGCGGTTTTCCCTCACTATGGCTTCAACTGCTGCAGTGTTCTCTGGAGTCAGAACTCGATGTGCCTGACCCAGACGAGGAGCATCTTCCACTGAAGTCACACCATTTGCAAACTTCCTACTCAGTTCGTATACTTGCTGATGTGATAAACATGCATCACCATACTGAAACTTCATTCATCGATAAATTTCAATAGGTTTCACACCTTCACTACACAAAAACCGAATAACAGAATGCTGTTCTTGCCTGGTGCAAGTCTCAAGTGGGGCAGCCATCTTATACTGGTGCTGTGACAGTGTTCGTGCATCTGTACTATGCTGCAACCTACAGGCCATTCTGCACGCTGTTTGTAGCATGCTTACCAACTTACAGGATAATGGCGCGAAATTTCGATTTTTTATTACAAATTTAAGGTTTTCATTTGACTCACCCTCGTACAAATAACTGTAACCCTACTGCTAATTTCTATGCTACAGATCACTCAACACTAAGTCTTCTCGGTCTGCTTTCACTAGTTTTGGTAACAGCTCTCCACATTGGCTATTCCTCTGCAGTGTTTTCATTAGACGTTTCCTCGTAACGAATCTTAGCTATAGAGATTCTTCAGCTTCCTTTTTCTGCTGGTTAACACTCCACAGTTGGACCCTCAACTATACTCCACTCACTCGCTGGACAGAACACGGTTGGTCAGGTCATATAGCCTTGGAGTGGACCCACAGAAAACGCCTGCATCACCTCTTCTATTGTGTGATGTCACTGCGCACATGAATGCAGTGGGTGCTACATGGCAACAGCTCTATGTGTCATGTATTGTGACACCTCCTCTGTTGTTGAATGTGGTCATCACTTAGCAAGGACTGATGTTTACAGAGTCACCTCTTAGAAAGGGTCTCTATGCCACAATATTAAGAAGCAGTTTTTCAGCAGAAGGACATACTTCGCAAGCAGTAGATGCTGTCTTTATGTGAAGCAGGCGTTTAGGTAACCAGATGCCACTCAGACTCTTGCATCCCGAGGTTAGTTGTATGGCCAGTAGGAAATTAGGTTATTTGGATCTTCAGTCAAGGCAACTTTTTAGATGACCAACAAGGACTTTGTATTGTCTACATGATGCACCTTTTTCTTTTGGACTTCAGATGGATAAGATGCAAAACCCTGTGCCCACATTGTATCTAAATTAACAGTTATAATTTATCACGGCTATTTCTTTTGGACTTGGCTTTGTATGTGGAGCTGGGTTAGCTCAGTCGGTATATCAACTGGCTATGAGCTGGATGACTGAAGGGTTGAAGTTTGAGTCCTGGTAGGGACCCTCTCCATGTCATCCATACTGGCTCTTGAGCCCACTAAGCCTCCTGTCTAATGGGTACTGGGGGCTCTTTCCTAGGGGGTAAACCAGCCAGGGCATGAAGCTGACCACTCAACTCCGAGTGCTGAGGTCAAGAATATATGGATCTATACATTCACTCTTCCATGCATCTTGACATAGTGCTCAGTTACTTAAACACAGGGATAACTTTACGTTTTGCTGTAGTTTCATGTAACTCACTCTTTTTGTAAACTTTAAAAATTGTGAATTGTGTAAAAATGAACTTCTTACATATAAATTCATATAAATTTAATTTGTGACTATGTGAATAATTAATTCATATTTGTGAATTACAGACTTTAAAGCAGCAAAGCATTTTACAGAATGATGTGTTTGTTTTTAATTTCTGAAGCAGTACATTATATATCCCTTAATGAACAGCATCTCATTCATATTGGCTAGATCATCTTAATTATTCAGTTAATTATCTTATCATCTCATGTGGTTGCAAAAGACTTGCTTAAAGAGTCAGAATGGTACCTCACCTCTAACATAATAGAATGAAGTAGGCATATCTAAATTAAGGAATGTCATTTGGCCATAGAAAGTAGCATTATTTGAACAAGTTAAACCTTAAACTTTGTAATATACGAGGTAGAGTCAGTAAATAGGTCACAAATGGAAATAAAATGGCTCTAATTGATGTAATATGTTTGCTATATGTATCGCTGCATAGCAGCACAGCCCAACTTCATGACGGGCATACTGCCAAAGAGCAGAGTTCTGTTGTGAGTTTTCTGTGGGTAAAACGACATGATGGAAACAATATTCATAAAGAAATGTTTCCTTTTTACTGTGGAAAGTGTTTATCGTGTAATGCGGTTGACAGCTGGTTCAAGAATTCTCTCAGGGACGCTCAGAAGTTGCAGATGATATCAGACCATGTGCGGAAGGGGCTGAGACAACAGTAAGAAGACTTCTATGATGTGGGTTTTGATGCACTGGTAAAGCAGTGGGACAAGTATATCGTCGTCGGTGGAGGATGTGTTGAGAAATAATCCAGGTTAAAATATCACAAGTTTTACGTTTTCTATCCATTTGTGACCTATTTACTGACTCTCCCTCATAATTACTGGCACAAAATGCTATCAGTATTATGAATTAAATTATTAATTCTTTAGTTTTTGAGGAGTGGTTACAGCATTAGGAAGTGCATGACCAAGTGGTGCTATGACTGTATACTTATGTACTTTGTTGTCATCTCAAAGTCCATTTGTCCATTAATTGCCACAGTGTTTTGTTGGTTAGTACAGTCTGAGCAAAGAGTTCCAGTCAGTAGGTCTATTCATGAAGTATTACTGCCTTACATTTAGGTATGTTAAACTTATGATGGCGATTTCATAAGTCAACTCTGAATGTTTATTGTTAGTATGATGATGATGATTATTATTATTTCATTCAGTGTCATTCCATAGTATTTAGGTCGTTCAAAAATGATTGCCACTCCCTCCATAACTCCGGAAAAGTAGCAGTGTCAAATGCAAGTCAGTGTATGTGGGAAGACATACTACAGTGCCGCCTATGGCCACGAGATGATGTTGCTACTGCGCACAGGTCAAACAGTGATGCGCCATCCATGGCAGTGTGCAGATGCAGTCATGGACAATGCTCAGACAACATGGAAGCAGACAATCACGGACAATGGTGGGCTATGTGGTTTCACTAGAGGGAAGGAGTGGCTGCTTCACACATTCACACGAGGTTAGCAGCCGTATCTAGGGAAGCAGCACCAAGCCGCAGAATCATGTTTCGCTGGATAGCAGAGTTCAAAGACGGCAAGGACTGTGCAGAAAAAGGCAAAAGCAGTGGGCATCCAGCAACAGCATGCACACCAGACAGTACCCAGCGTGTGTCCGACTTGATACTGGAGAACAGGCGCATCACGTTCAATGAACTAGAGAATGCAACAGGTTTGTCATGTGGAACACTGCACACGAAGATGAAAAAGGTCTGTGCTCAATGGGTGCCCATTCTCTCACCATTGTGCAGAAGCAGAAGCATGTGGAGACATGCCAACAGTTACTGCAGCTGTATAGCATGGATCCAGCAGAGTTCTTTGAGCGTCTAGTCACTGTCGACGAGTCATAGTTCTGCCACAAGACTGCAGAAAAGAAATGCCAGTCCATGGAGTGGAAGCATGCTGGGAGCCCTCCTCCCAAGAAGTCAGGACCGGGACTATTTGTGCGGAAGCAAACGGCGACTGTGTACTGGGATCAAGAGGGGATCCTTCTGTTGGATTGGCTGCCCCCCAGTACGACCATTGACAGTGATCGGTACTGCCATTCACTGCGCCAACTCCACCGATGCATTCAGCAACGCCACCATGGAAAATGGGGGTGCGGTGTTTTTCTCGAACGTGATCATGCACAGTCACATGGCAGTCGGCGGACCATTGCCACCCTGGGTGTGCTAGGGTACACCGTGCTGCCCCATCTGCCATACTTGCCCGATCTTGCCCTATTCAATGCAATGAAAGATGTCATGCAAGGTAAGACATTCACCTCCAATGACAGGCTTCAGGCAGTTGTCCAGCAGTGGTGCCGGGATACCCCCAAAGAATGGTTTGCTGTGCAAATACGGAAACTGCTGGAACAATGGAAAATGTGCATAGCCATTGGCGGGGAATGCCTCTAATATAATCTGTATGTATTTTGTTCCAATATGTGGTTACTGTGAAGAAAAAACATTTAGTGTCAATTGTTTTTGAACGCCCCTAGTACAAAAAACTTCATGTATGTGAAGGCGAGTTTCAAATTAAGGTATTTCATGTCTGACCCTTACACAGCTCCCAAGCACGTATCTCAAATGATGTGAAAGTTTAAACATGATCTTGCAGTAGGAGCAAGGATTGAGGTGCAGTGTGATCATGTTGCTATCTAGTGGAAAGAGAATGCTTGGTTAAAGAAAAATGGATGAAACTAGACTTATAGCAGTTTAGATTTATCTTTATAGTTGTAGTTGTAGGGGTTATTTGAATGTTTTCATGGTTTCTCTGGTGATGTGGTGATAAGTATTGATATTAGGTATAGTTTCTGTTTATCAAATTTGATGCCTTGTGTGGTCCAGATGGAGTGTTTGGCTCCTGTTGATCATTGATTCTTTAGCCCAGTATCTGTTACATTTCTATACTCTAACAGAGGCATAATGGGGAGCTAGGATAGTGTAGTCACTATAATGACTGGCTATGGGCTGGACAACCGAGGGGTTGGAGTTCAAGGCCTGGTAGGGTCTAGAATTTTCTTCATGTCATCCAGACTGGCTCTGGGATCCACCCTACCTCCTATCCAATGGGGACTGGGGCTCTTTCCCTGCTGGCAAGGGGGCTAGGGCGTGAAGCTGACCACTCACCTCCAGCTAGTGTTGAGGTCAAGGAAAGTGGATCTATACATCGACTCCTCCATATGCCCTCATGGCATAGTGCTTAATTAGTTAAGTACAGCGACAACTTTACCTTTTCTACCTTTAACGGAGATCTAATGGCCAGTTTGATCAGTGCACACTCTGCCACAGGTGCGGGGGATCTTGTGAGCACTTGCATTTTTTGCATGGTTTCTTTTCTAAGAAGGACATTCATTTTATTAAATTATGTATGGATATTGTGAAATGTCTCTTTTGCATAACTACCCTGGCAGTATGGTCTCTTGTCATGCTTTCACATTAGATACAGACCACGAAAATGTAGGGGCAGGATACCGATACAACTTTCTTCTCATTCATCGCTAAAGCATGATTCATGATGGAAAGTCTGTGGTCTTTGCAGGTTCAACAGGATCTGACGACCCTCCACCTCCAAAGCCAGCAAGGTTTCCAATCTTTGGGGCAGCGGACTCGACATCTCTTGCCTCCTTGACGGGGACACTAAGCGGAGGTGGCTCCATCAACAATGCAACTCCTGCCCCCACAACGTACATTGTTGCACAGAATCCAGAGGTCTTGGTACAGCTGCTGCGTGAAAATGAATCCAGAGGAATCTCACCTTCTGTCTACACTACACCAGCATCAGCATTCAACACTCTAGCGGTAGATTTTGAAAAGAACATTTCTGCTTCACCTCCTTCAGCTACAGTCGCAACTCCAGCCCCGTTAACTTCTGCTCCTTCCCAACCATCTCCAGCTGTGACTGCCACTCCAGTGGCTTCATCCCAGTCTCCTGTTATCTATGGTGTGTCCAAGAAAGTTTCCTCAGCACCTAAAAGTGTCTCGTCCCCTCCTCCATCTGTTGCTGGCTCCCAATCTTCCACCAGCTCCCCTACAACCAGCCCTTCAGGCTCTAATGTTCCAGCTGCTAGCGTGGTACCTGTTGCTTCACCTATTTTGCGAAAAGCATCAAAACCAAAAACCAAAGAGATCGGACCATGTCATTCTAGTAACAGTCCTGTTGTGGGAGGGGTGTGCGTTCTTCCTGCTCCACCCAGCACACTAACTAGTTCTGTTCCTGCAGCAGCCACTTCTGAGGTTTTAACCCCTTCGTCTCTAGTTTCATCAGCTACCAGTGATGGTGCCACAATTTCATCAACATCTTTCACGTCATCTTACGGTGGTGGACCTGATTTGGATTGTTGCACAGCTCAGTTGTCGATGACTAGCAGCTCAGCTGATGTAGCAGAGGATGGTGGTGGACAGGTTTGGATGTTTCATGTGCATTTGGTCCAGACTAAGCCCTTGATCATGTTTGTTCATGTTTCTATTTTCTTTGATATCTCTGTTGAAACCAGCATATAGTTCCATATAGTCTGGCAACAATGGTGGATCTTCACCATTTAGTAATGTAGACTATTACGTTATCATTAGAAAGTTAACTATATCCTGTTTCCAGCATGCTCCCAGTTTGCATACACTGGTGGAAAATTCAGGCATACTGTGACATGATGGCTGAAAATCGGAGTAGTCTACACATTGCGGTCATTGCTAGGCAACAGGGCAGTAAGCACGTGACTGGGGTAAAACACATAAACATGCAACAGTAGAGGAGCCTCTGGATGTGGTGTTTTATAGGCAGTCTGTTCAGAGGCTCTATAACAAGGATGAACTGGACAAGCAGGGCAGTTGACAGTCAGTCAGAGGTCAGAGTCTGCTGTTGGCAGGCGGTCTTAAGTTGCATTTTTGGTAGCCGCTGCCTAACAGTGAATAGTGGACAGGCAGAAGACTATCTGTTTTGTAATTGTAATTATCAATAGTGTGTGTAAATTGGTGACCCTGTTGTAGTTATTTGAGTTACAAGCTCTCAGTAAATCCAGTCCCCTGTGTCTGTTCACTAACACATGACAAGTCCTATACAGGACGTCCCTTCCATAAGGTTGCGTGCACAGGTTATAACATACCGTAGTTTGTGTAGTAGTTTTCCTGTGCTCCCCTGTTGAGTAACTAGCAGATTAATGCTCAAATGATACTATTAAGTCAGTGTCTCCCATGAGCTATATAACCATTCCTACAACCTACAGTTTGAGGAAAGAATTCAGCATAAGGTTTGATGAGTTATGATATGTTTTGTAATGACATTACCTTCACCAGACAATTGCGGTGCTTGGAAATTGTGTTAATATTGCTGTATTGAAATACCTAAATTATTTCTTTGGACTTATGACCCAAATTTGAGTCATCATTAAATGCTGTTGTCTCTTACAGAGCATTTAGAGCCTGAAACTGTGTATTGGCTTGACATTTAGAGGAAATTGTGATACTAGTAGAGTGTACATAAATAAGGCCAGTGATGAAGGGGACCTTACAGTCTTGATCTAAGGTCTTGGACTCTCAATCAGGGGGTTCTGTCTTTTATCTTGTCGTAGCCATTAAGAAGGTCCAAGAAAGCTAGGTGGGACTGAAATTAAATGGGACACATCAGCTGTTGATCTATGCTGATGTGAGTCTACTGGGTGAAAATATAGATACCATAAAAAGAAACATAAACTTTAATTGATGTTAGTAAGGAGGTTGGTCTAGAAGTAAACACAAATAAAACTATATGTTGCTATCTTGTCACCAAAATGCAGGGCAGAGTCATGAAATAAAGATAGGTAGTAGACAGATGTTTTGAAAATGTGGCACAGTTCAGATATTTGGGAACGACTATAACAAATCAAAACATCGTTCAGGAGGAAATTAAGAGGAGATTGAAATCGGCTAATGCTTGTTACCATTCAGTTCAGAACCTTTTGTCTTCTCATCTGCTATCTAAAAACATAAAAATTAGAATATATGAGGGTGAGTCAAATGGAAACCTTAATTTGTAATAAAAAATCAAAATTTCACACAATTATCCTAAGTTGGTAAGTGTGCTACACTGTGCAGAATGGCCTGTAGGTTGCAGCATAGTGCAGATGCACGAACACCATCACAGCACCAGTATAAGATGGCTGCCCCACTTGAGACTTGCATCAGGGAAGAACAGCGTTCTGTTATTCGGTTTTTGTGTAGTGAAGGTATGAAACATATTGAAATTTGTTGAAGAATGAAGTTTCAGTATGGTGATACATGTTTGTCACAGCAGCAAGTGTACGAATGGAGTAGGAAGTTTGCAAATGGTGTTACTTCAGTGGAAGATGCTCCTCGTCCGGGTGAGGCACATCGAGTTGTGACTCCAGAGAACACTGCAGCAGTTGATGCCATAGTGAGGGAAAACCGCCGAGTGACATTGAATGAAATTGCAGCAAGTTTAAACATTAGTGATGGTTCAGCACACCACATTGTGCATGATGTGCTCCAGTTTCACAAAGTGTCTGCAAGATGGGTGCCACAGCAGCTGACTCCTGAATTGAAAGACCGATGTATTGATGCTTGTGAAGAACTTCTGCGGCACTTTGAACGGGAAGGTGATGACTTCCTTGCAAGAATCTTTACTGGGGACGAAACCTGGGTTCACTTCCACCAACCGGAAATGAAGAGCATGAGCAAGGAATGGCACCATTCCTCATCTCCAAAACCGAAGAAGTTTTGAACACAACCATCAGCAGGGAAGGTTATGCTGACTCTCTTTTGGGACAAAAAAGGCATCATCTTGGAGCACTACGCACCTAGAGGGACCACTGTCACCACTGCATCATACTCTGATCTCCTAAAAAATCATCTTCGGCCTGCAATCAAATCAAAGTGACATGGATTGCTGTCCACAAGTATCCTTTTGCAACATGACAATGCAAGGCTCCATACTGCCCGTACAACAGTTGCGACAATCAATGACCTGCATTTTGAGTGTCTTCCTCATCCGGCATACTCACCAGACCTTGCCCCAAGTGATTTCCATATGTTTGGACCACTCAGAGAAGCAATGGGAGGAAAGACGTTCCGTTCTGATGAAGAGGTACGCCACGCGGTGCATGAGTGGTTGCGCAGACTACCAAAAATATTTTTTTCGAAAGGAATTCATGCACTTTGTAAGTGCTGGAGGACTTGCATCGAGCATGGCGGAGATTATATTGAAACGTGATACAGCTTTGTACCACTTGTGCACAATAAATAATACTCAAAAAAAATATTTAAGGTTTTCATTTGACTCGCCTACATACAAAACTATAATTTTGCCTGTGGTTCTGTATGGGTGTGAAACTTGGTCTCAGACATTAAGGGAGGAATATAGACTGAGTGTATTTGAGAACAGGGTGCTGAGGAGAATATTTGGACAGAAGAGAGATGAAGTGACAGGAGGTTGGAGAAAGCGGCATAATGAGGAGCTTCATAACTTGTACTCTTCTCCAAGCATAATTAGTATAATCAAGTCAAAGAGGATGAGATGAGCAGGGAATGTAGCACGAATGGGGGAGAGGATGAATGCATGTAGGATATTGGTGGGAAAGCTGAAAGGAATGAGACCACTGGGAAGACCAAGACGTAGAATGGTGGACAATATTAAAATGTACCTTAGAGAGATAGAATGGGATGGTATGGATTTGGATTGGGTTGGTCTGGCTCAGGATAGGGACTAGTGGAGGGCTCTTATGAACATGGCAATGAACCTTCAGGTTCCATAAAATGCTGAGAAGTTCTTGAGTAGTTGCACAGTTGGCAGCCTCTCAAGTAGGGCTCAGCTCTGTGAGTGAGTGAGTGAGTGAGTGAGTGAGTGAGCATATCTGTTTGTAAATTTGAATGCTCACAGTGTAAAATTTTCCCCTCTGCCAGAGGTAATAGCAATGAGACTTTGAGTTTGCTCTCTCAGAATTTATATTTTCCCCACTTATATGAGCTTTTTCAGTGGGGCCAGTTGAAAGCCCAATGAGGCATTTAAATTTGAACCAGTTTTATATGTGGGTAGTGTGCAAGGTCTGGTTTGAGGAACCCGTTTTATGCGGGAAGCAGGGGAAATATGCAAGGGCCAGTTTGAGAAAACAGGTGTGTTCACAAAGTGGGTAGTGTGCAAGGTCCTGTTTAAGGCACCCGGTTTATGCGGGAAGCAGGAGGAATATGCAAGGGCCAGTTTCAGAAAACAGGTGTGTTAGCAAGGAGACAAGTAAAAGGAAGTAGACCATGTTCAAGTGGTTAGCAGACTAGATTGAAAGTGAGAAATTTATAATTTCTGATATTAGTTGGTCCTTAACAGGTTTTAAGATTCTTCATTTTTTAGAGTAGGAGTTTTAAATTGTTTTAGTTTAAGGACGTGGATTTTATGGTGTAGTTTACGATCAAGGGCTTGGTTACATGACCAGTGATTTATTTTGCACATAATTAGTGCATATGATGTGCACGGTGGCATGATTGGACGTACAACGTGCACAGCTTTATTTGTCATGCAGATGAAGTATTTTTGTCTTGCCATAATCTGAGAAATAGTAATATTGGTACCGTTGATGCACAGCATGAGGTATGACTTTGTAAACATTGCACATTTATTTCTTTGTTTTTGAATTTATAATAACTTGTAGCAAATGACTTTGTTTTCAGCTTGGATTCAGTGAGGCATGCACATTGGCTGTGTTGCATGTTACTATTCTGTTACTGAATTCAGTATTTATTTTAATCAGCGATCATTGTATTCAGGTATATCTTTCACCAGAGTGACATATTTATTTTACGACTTTCAAAATTGTTCT